GCTTTACGGTCTCAGCGCCTTCACTTCTGAATGCTCTTGATGCTGTGTAATTCATTGGGTTTCAGCTTTCACGACGGTCCGGAAGGATCCGTCTTTTACACCCTCCCAATGGATCTGTGGCAGGATTTCCCCAAATTCAGTGTCTCACTCATAGCAAGATTTGCCACGGTGCTCTGTCAAGCCATGCTTTCGAATGGGCGCCATCAATCTCGTACAAGAGATGGAGTTTTGATCCCACCGAGCTCCAAGAGATGTGGTCGGCTGATGGAGTGTTTCAAGTTGTGTGTATGTAGGTAGTATGTATGATCCTGCATACGTTGGCGGTAGGTACCGTTCCTGCGGCTCCGCTACAGCATGCACAACATGATACATGGTACATGATACATGGGGACTTGGCTTTAGCTGCCTTTAGGGAAAGGATGCGCAGCCAGTCAGACGGAGTAATCCAAGGCAAGGATAAGCGGAACTGAGGGGTAGCTTGCATAAGGAAGGCATAAGCCGTTTTTCCCCTTGTTCGGCAGGTAGTAGTACTAACGATAAGGTCCTACACTAGTATTAAGCTAATGAATGTACTTTATGCACGGCCGTAAAGTACAAAGTGGAAAAAAAAAGGTTAAAAACCGAAAAACCAATTGACTGGCCCGTGACTGGTGATCCGATAGCGAGGAAAGAATCCTTCCTTCGTTTCGATATTGATAAATGCTAATCTTCCCTCTTTTCGTGTGTGGCGTGTGGTGGGGAGAACATGTGAACAGAAGCCTGGCCTCCTGCGCTGCTGGGTATTGGGCCATGAAAGAAAAGTGGGAAGAGGGTGGACGGCGGGTCCAGACGTGTTTCTCTCTTATTCGCTCGCCTCAACCCAGACTCCACAAGACCCTCCCCCCCCATTCAGCGACTGACCCTACCCTGCCCCCGCCCCCCTTTACCGGGCAACACCTTGCCATCCACTCACAGCCTTGATGGAATTTCACGCTTTCTGATAGTTGACATGCTCAGATCAAGCTGTCAAGAGGCTGATGGTAAAGATGAAACCTGGAGAGCAGAGAGAGCTAAAGATTATCTGCGCCTGCTTCCGGAATCTCCCCATTCCCCGTGAGGCAGAGCGCAACGGTTAGGCCAGGAATACACTCGCATACCCATGGGAACCAGAGCGGGATCTAAGGGTAACCACTATCGCAAAAAATGAAATCAGGCCAATCAATCCACGGTACGTTGCTCCACTCCAAGACCCTATCAACATCCTGCAATCGCCGAAGCTGACATCACCGCACCGGACGCGGAGATCTAAGCATCAGGGCACAGATGTTTCAAATGCTATTTTTCCAAGAAGATACGCTTCGAGACGAGACATATGCACAGCATTGTGCGGCGGGATGCGGTGTGAGCTTAAATGCGCGGCGTCGGCGCCCCTCCTTGCCTATGCAGATCGCCGTTGTACTTTGAAAAGGTTGTCTACTACTCTACCCTACTTTATTTCTCAATACAGGAATATCTAAGGGGCTGGGAAGGAGAGGAGTCAGCAAAGGTCATGCATAATAACTCCGATGGTCGGAAGAATCTGCGTATGCCATGAAAATCTTTTGTTTCCTCTTCCAAGGCAAGATCAGCAGGCTCGTTATCGGGGCAATTATTGGTTTGAAATCTGGGAATACTCAGGTAATAAGGATTCGTTTTGGTGAAGGATGTGTGACATGTGGTTTGCTACTGCTACCGTAAGTGTGTAAATTATGCCACGTTTGGGTTCACCGCCAAAAGATAGAAGCGCCGCACCTCGAAATTCCTGTGAGTGGGCTGATGCGTTGTCAAAAGCCACGAAGAGCGTTCTCTTCTCCACACACCACCCGCGGATCGAAACGTCAAAGTCTAGTCCTCTTCCAGCTCTAGTTCGCCGTTCCCCCAGACATTCTTCTGGCATGTCCTATCACGTCTTCTCTCCTAGCCTCGAACCTCCCATCTTTCAGCAAACTGGGACATCCGAGGGCACCACACCCTCCTTTTTTTTTCTTTTTCATCTTTCCTCGTCTCACAGGCGCCGTGCCTCATTCATTCATTCATTCAGTCAGTCGGTCGTTTGCCTGAATCCCCTTGATTAGTCGGACAGCTAATCACGTGGGGGATTTACGTGTCTCGGCTCGCTTGGTTGAATGGGAACTGGGTGTCCTCATAGTCATAGTCATCATTGCCACGGGGCTTATGAAAACCGAAAACCCAGGATCGCTGAGAATTTGCATCGTATAACTAAAGGGAAGTCGCCGTAGATGCACGATAATTGCAATGGCTCGGAAAGGAAGGCCCATCAAAAGGGGTGGATCCGCCAGTTAGATTATAGCTCAACTGCTCTCCCGAGTCCCGAGCGTCTACACTGACCCTTTCTAATTTCCAAATTGCACAATGCGTGCATGCAAATAACACTCTCAACCTGGGACGAATTGAAGTTGCCTTATCGTCGCGATCGCGAATGCATGAACTGTTTTCTTCTTACAGGCATCTCAAGTCCAAGGGGGGTTTTTTCTCTTTTTTTTTTTCCTTTTTTCTTTTTTGGGTTGGGAGATATTTCAATTCGAGCCGAGCGGACGATCGTAGGTAGGTGAATATGCTCCCACAAACCTTGTGATCTTCACGGTTCCAGTACAGTAGTGGACCAAGCGTGTTCCGGGCCGACCAATTGGGCTGACTCAAGCCCGCGTATCAAGAGTCACCCTTGGGATGTCGATCCAAATTCGCAGACAAGGGTAGGAAGGGGGTTTTGTGGGAAAGGATAGGACAGTTGAAAAAGAGAGTTTCGCTTGCCTGCATGTGCAGGCCCCTAAAAGCGGAAGAGACAGCTTTCTCTCTCGATATTGAACACGGACCGACCATTAGAGTCCTCAGACTGTTAGACCCATACTACACTAATCCCTGGCTTTTTTTTTCTTCTCTTACTCCCGCCGGCCATTCTTCTTCCCTCGATCAATGGTGTAAATTAGTACAGTAGATCAATTATGATTATTATGATTATTATGATTTTTATTAATATTGATATTGCAATTGTTGGCAGGACTTGATTACTGTTAAAACAATGCAATTTGCCCCAACTCCCACAAACTATTATACCCATTCAAACTATCAATTTGATTGAGACCTGGCACTGACTTGATAAGACCAGCCTTTTCCCTGTAGTTCGCCCCGAGCCGTTGAGTTGCATCAAAAAGAGCCCGTCTCCCGCTCTCTTGCATGACTACTGCTTTTTCAACGGTCACCACCTTCGTCTGTCTATCAGTCTTCCTACCACAGCCCAATTCACAATTCTGCCTCTGAATTGCAACCGCGTGTCCTTGTTCTCATTAACATTATTCGCTCCCGGCCAATTGGCTGCCCAACAAGACACGTATCGCACAGAGCGCAACATAAGTCCCAAGATTGCCCTCGCGCATATCCAGAGCGCATTTCTCCCAGATCTGATCTACTTCATTGGACCTGGACGCCTCCAACGCATTATAAACCGAGATCCCCATCATTCGCTTTTGCTCTCATCCGGGACATATTAGCAGCAGACATCATCCGAGATTTGGTTGCTGGTCACGGGTGTAAGGTATCCTATCATCACGGCGGACTTCCCAGACGCCGAAGCAACTAGCTTACACGCTAACAGCGCACTCCCAGCCTCCGCCGTCTTGTGCCTCTCACAGAATCCCCCTCCCTTCCCTGAGCCTGGGAAGTGGGCAGAGCTTTGTTCAGCGCTGCACTTCTTGCATGCACCTTTCACGAGCCAGGAGGTACGTATGTACGACGGAAGTCATGCAAACATCATTCCTTCCATCCTCATGCCCTACGTTTTGCGCAATCTTGTAGCGCTAACCTGAGCTTCTATAGCTGCGGAGACGTCAACTTTTCCAAACCCCCCCCCCCCCAAGACAACTTTACCAGTCAACGAAACTCTACGAGCATAACGGCCATCTACACGATCTTTGTTCCTCAAAACACCAGTACCTCATAGACGCGTGTTCGAAGCGCTTTTGCACTGAAACCTTCCTCTTTCCGCCTTATCCAGCACGCTACAGCGCACAGCGATCCACTTGCATTTACCTGCATCAAAGCAAGCAAACAACCTCAAAGCCCCCCCCTTAACGACCTGAAACGAGTGACACGCCTTTGATGTCTTGATACAGCGCTGCAGTACTTCTTCAGGCACATCCGCACCTTAGTCGAAGCGCAGAATCATCTGCCACAATCCTCTGTACATCAGCCTGACCCGCCTTGCATACCCATATCCCACCTGGATTCTTACCACACCCATTGGCAGTGCTCTACATACCCAATCACACATTTGATAGATCTCCTATTCGAGACACCCTCGCCTTAGACGCCGTTCATATAGGTCACCTGCCAAGCAATTGGATTGCTTCAACTACCGAGACGACGACAACGCGTGTACTATTATCGGAGCCTCTTGATCCTCTCGAGTCTCGGAGGGAAAAGCCATATACAAACTCTACCGTGACGAGCTGCGCTTTTCCCCTTACGAAGCCAGCAGTCGCAAGCGAAGACTACTGTCTGGAATTGCCGTACCCATCTCCGTCGCAGTCTTGAGCAATAGAATCTCCAAAAGGTCAATCAGGCCATTGATGATCAATACCGAAAAACTGGAGCTCCCATCGATATCCCAGGTTCAAAACCGTGGCCCTGTTGACAGTCCGTGGCACAGTTCAAATTATTCCCGTCCAAAGCTCCCCAGTGATCGCCTGCCAGATCTGCACCTACCTCAGTCCTACACGTCAACAACCGCCCGGGTCGGAGGTTCAGAGCCTTTGTCAAGCGCTCACGGCATTCAATACTCTACCACCCACGCAGGCTCGTACTCTGACAACAACAGTGGGATCGGCCTAAAGACGCCGTCGCCTTCACCAACTTCTCTGTGCTCAGCGGCTCCGATCCACGGACTGCCAGAGGATTCTGAAGGGCGCTCGGATTATACGCAACCAAGTCATTATAACCAGTCTACCGGTCACTATCAGCCCGTAATGAACCAGCAGCACCAATACCTCGAGTCGCAACAGCCTCAGATGTCGGGAGGACAACCGTACGCACCTCACTCCACCACTGCAAGCGGTATGACCCCATATTCCAGCTATGCACAACAACAGCCGCCACCGTTGCAACCAGGACCTGGCAGTTATGCGCAATCTCCAGGCTACGGCCAGTATGGCTACCCCAACAGCATAACCTCTCCATCAGGCCCTGGCCACCCAGTGTCCTCTTCTATGGCTGGGCAGATGAATTCGGGACTGCTACCCTTACCAGGTATTCCCAACAGTTCTTGTCCAAACTGGCGATTCTTTGGCTAACCAAAACAGCTATGGGAGCTGGTGGACCTGCACAGCATACGTACGTGGGAGCGCCCACTGGCCCTCCTCCAAATTACCCTCCACAAAATCCGGATACAACTGGCCAAGTGGCTCCCTCAGGTATGAAGCCCAGGGTAACTGCAACTCTGTGGGAGGACGAGGGATGCATGTGCTTTCAAGTCGAGGCTAAGGGTGTGTGCGTTGCTCGGAGAGATGGTAAGGCCCATTGCATGCAGCTTGCATCATGCACTTTGACTAGATGCATCACAGCTCAAGCACACTGGACTAATGCGACTGACAGATAATCATATGATCAATGGCACAAAGCTCCTCAATGTGGCGGGAATGACTCGAGGTCGACGAGATGGAATACTCAAAAGCGAAAAGACCCGACATGTGGTTAAGATCGGTCCAATGCATCTCAAGGGTGTCTGGTATGAAACTGGAGCCTTTTGGATGTGTTCTTGACGCTAATTCAGATACAGGATTCCTTTCGACCGGGCCCTAGACTTTGCCAACAAGGAAAAGATCACAGAGTCGTTGTATCCTTTGTTTGTGCATAACATTGGGGCTCTTCTATACCATCCCACAAATCAAAGCAGGACGAATGCAGTGATGGCTGCAGCTGATCGTCGAAGACTGGAAACATCGAAGGCACAAGGTGGGGGAGTGGGTCATCCAGGCTCGCAAGCTCCATCTTTGCACCACCACCATTCAATGGGCAGCTCTATGAACTCCCAACAACCTCATTCGATTGCTCCTCATCCAGGCGCAGGGAGACCGGGCTTGGATAGAGCTCACACCTTTCCTACTCCACCAACTAGCGCATCAAGCACCAGCATGGGACTAAGCAACCAGGGTTCCTATGGTTGGGAAGGACAGAGCATCCCCGGGAATGCTCAGCCCTTAATGCTCGACAGTCACCCACACTCAACGCCGGCTACGCCAGCAACAACCCCCCCAGGTGCTTCGATGCCGACTTTGCAGCCGTATCAAAGTCATCAATCATACGATAATAACCGACCAATGTACTCCTCAGCTGCCCCGCAGCAAGGTCAATATGCAACGCAACATCAACAGCAGGGCATGTCACATGGTGCGCCCTTGTCATCAAGTTCTTACGGGAAACAAGATATGGGACCCCCTGCAACACGCGCGCCAGGATCAAAGGCAGAGAGCGAACACGGTGACTCAAAGAACGACATTTACGGCCACAGCCAGGGAACTGATCGGGTGGGCCACGAGGAAGCAGAGCATGAGCCGGAGGGCGAGTACTCGCACGATAATAGCGCTTACGCTCCCCACCGCGGTCAATACAATCATTATAATTCAGCCTCGCATATGGGCTCCTTGCATGGAGAACATGCCCAAGCTCCTTCTGACATTAATGGGTCTCAATCCCATCAGAACGGTTCCGGTCGATCAACACCCCGTACATCCAATGGCAGCCAACAACAGTGGTCTGCCGCCGGATATCATACCCCGCCTCGCGCTGCGCCATCGGGCAACCTCTACAATCCAATGAGTGATACTCGCGGTACAGTGACGAACGGCAATAACGGTGCAGAACACTACTCGACGGCACCGCTTCATCCATACGCTCCCACCCAGGCCAATGGTGTCAACTCATCTAATAAGCGAATGCGCGAGGATGAAGAGTATACTTCTCGACCTGAAAGTCGCAATGATGACATGGAATCCATGAAACGTCGGAAGATGGGCCGAGAGGGCAGTGGGGCTGGCAAAATTGCCAGCACCTCGTACGAAAGCGATGTAAAGCCCGTCAGCGCCAATCGACCTCGAAGCATCGCAACTCCGCGCGCTCATCGGTGAGCCAAGGAATCACGACTCTGGACAATCATATTAGCGCAGGACGAAGTGCGAGGCCAGATCGATAAAGACTTGGCCAATCCGACTAATCTTGACGCTCAATGATCAGCTGTATTCTGGACCATCTACGAACCACTCTCGCATACAAATCTTTCTAATGTCTTTTCTGTGGCATGACCAATCGCCACGCCAAAGACACATCCGTCATCTCATGTTCCTCTATGACTTCTATTCAAGCTTCCCAGAAGCCCCGTTACGACTCCATTTCTACCATATCTTACTCCACCAATTATTTACGACATAACGACACGAGCTTCACTTCTTCATGAACCCATTTGTCAATACCCCGCGCAAGAGAGGTGGGCTTTACGATTACGATTTTCTTTACGATGGATATGTGTGAAAGCAGCGGTATTATGACGGCAATACAGTGTTTAATTCAACCAAAAAAGCCTGTGATGGACCTAGGCCGGGGAGATGAGGAGCTGGATAGTGTTAGCATTTTTGGCTTGCGAGAGTATTCCGATCTGATATTGGCAAACTCTAGGGTAGCATGACAATGGAAGACGGTTGGCTCGCATATTTGAATCGCCCTTCGCATGTCACCAGTTTCCCCAAAAAGGGCAATCGAGTGTGGGATCGAGTAAGTCCGATTGTACATCTGTACCCATGCTCGCATGACATTGTCCAGATGGCCCTAGGAGCTGGCAATGATAAACTGGAGATCTTTGGTGAAACAGCCAGGTTGGGGTTGGGGCGTAGAGGCTACTCTACCACTACTACTGCTGTCAGACCTGTAGATTACGGATCCTTAGCCGGCGAAGCAGGACTAATGCACAGTGCCATAGTCATCTGCAGCGCATATGTACTGCACAATTGAGGCACGTTCATGATCAGTCTAACCAGCCGCGGGTCTGCCCTCTATCCTCTATCCTCCGAACATATCCGAATGAAGTAGTTGCGAGTTAGCCGCTCCAATGTTTTTACCTCTCCTGACTCCTCCACGCACCTGCATGTTTCTGCGCTTCGCATGTAAAACTGTATTCAACAACCCGAAGATCCGAAGAAGATTATCTGATGACTTGATGACAGATGCTGTAGCGTGTAGCACTAGCAACGAAGAATAATAGGAAGCCAGCATCTACGGGGACTGATCTTCGACGCATGTAAAGACCCAGTGACGGGGATCCACAAGATTGACAACACGAGAACCGAAGCTGGATCTGGCAGTCATTGTCTCTGCTCTTCTATCCGCACCAGCCAATTTTCAGTCTGCAAACTGCAGGAACGCCCACCACGCCACGCCCAAACTATCGCGTCTGAAACAGGATTCTGCACTGACCACCAGTATCATCTTCATGCAATATCGGACATCGGACTCTGACTGAAGCTGCGAGCTTCCAGCTCGCCACTCGCCACCCGCCACTCGTCTTTTTGACAGGGTCTGTCTCTGTTTGCCAAGGCACCGCCAACACCTGCCTCGCCTCGCCCACGCGCGCCCTCCCCAGACAGACCACCCCACTCCCGAATCTCCTACGCTCAACAATGCCCAGCCCCCACCCCCACATACCCCCTGCCCCGGAACCTCTCCGCAAGACCTTCGACCCTTGGAACTCCTCCTCCACCGGCCATCAGCGGGCAGACAACCGTCTCGCAGGCAGCACATCATGGCGCGCCTCTCGCACTTTGAAATTAGGACACCAGTTCCGCGCCGGCGAAGGGGGAGGGCAGAGGGTCTTTGATACCGTGGGGGCCGGGTCGAAGGATTTTGGCCGGGATGGCAGGACCGAGAACGGGGGGTGGGAGAAGGGCGCGCCGGGATTGAGACCGAAGGGGTGGAGAGATGTGGGCTTGATGGTCAGTCAGGGGAGCCAGGCGGAGTTGGGGACGCAGGAGAGGGAGAAGCGGAAGAGGAAGAGGGAGGACCCGGAGTCTTTGCTCGACGAACCGGAAGAACCCACGACGCCGGAGAAAGAGAAGGAGAGAGGCATCTTCACCGGCCTCTGCATCTACATCAACGGCTCCACCGCCCCTGCGATCGGCGACCACAAACTCAAGCACCTCCTCGCCGAACACGGGGCCCATATCTCAATCGCCCTCGGCCGGCGTAGCGTCACGCACGTTATAGTGGGCAAGCCGAACGACGGCAGAGGGGGAGGTGCAGGAGGTGGATTGTCTGGGAGTAAGATCCAAAAGGAGATACAGAGGGTAAGAGGGAAGGGGGTGAAGTTTGTAGCAGTGGAGTGGGTGACGGAGAGTGTGAAGGCTGGGAAGAGGCTGGCGGAGGCGAGGTTTCAAGGGGTAAGTATCGCGCCGCGGGGGGTGGGTAGTGTTTATGGGCTGTTCAAGAAGAAGGAGGAGGAAGATGCTGAGAATGCAGATACTGTGAACGAGGGAACGAAGACAGAGGTCGGTGATGAGGGTAAGGAAAAGGGCGGATGATAGGCCATTGGATTTACGGCTCATGGGAGATGATGGTATGAAGGGTAAGGGGACTACGGCATGCATAATAAGGCAACGGTGCATCGAGCCATGGCGTTGGGCTTAAGAGGTGTCTGTTTGATTGTTACTTCTGAGATACCATGCTTGCTATGCTACACCGAAGACACCGTGCAAAACTCCCATCCAGAACCTTTCCCGTCAAGATCTAGGTGGCAATAATGAAGAGGCCCACAGCGACAACCTCGCCCCCGACTGCGAGGCCGGCGCAGTCCATCCGCATCGAAACCGAGACACCCATTCCCTCTGTCCTCGTTCCCTGATCCATCCATCGACCTCGCCTCCCCCCACCCTTTCTTTCACAGCCTTGGATTTTGTCTTCTTCCAACCTTTCCCAGCCTCGGATTTTGTCTTCTTCCAAAAAGCGTACGCGGGCCTATTTACCGCTTTCTCTGGCGTACGCGGGCCCACCTACCACTTTCTCTGGCGTACGCGGGCCCACCTACCACTTTCTCTGGCGTCAAGCTCGGCCTATCCGTCGCGCTTGCTGTTCCATCGCCCATCAAATCTCCTCTGGAGGCGCATCGGTCAATCGTCGATTAGAGCGACGGCGTTGGCGATGATGGCGCGGGGATACCGCTCCTTTCGGGGGTGCACGCTCGGCCCCCGTCGTTCGACTTTTCCTATCCTCCAACCCTGCCTACTGAAGCATCAAGCATATATCTATCCACGATCATCCGTCCTGTTTTTTGCTGAGTGAAAAACCTGGAACCGTAGTCGATCGTCTCCGTACTTCGAACCCCAGACCACGAGCGTCGGGGCCGTCGGGTTCGAGCGTCGTGCCCGCTGCGTATTCACCGCCTTCGTATCCCTCCACATCCTCTCCCTGCCTTCTCGCTCTTCGAAATTGGCCTGCTGCTGCTGCAACACCTCACGTCGGCGGCGAAGTCCAGCCGACTCCTCCTGCGCGGCCCTGCGCGGCTCTACTACCGTCGAGGACCCCCCCCCCAGGGCCAATTGTGCTTCCCCTTGTCCTATCGATCGGACCAGTGGTTTGGGAATGCTCGTCGTCTTGTTCTCGTCGCGCGGATGGATCCTTTCCGGCTCCGTTGCGTTGAGCTGTGCTGTCTTCGCGACTGGCTTCTTTTCTGGGAACATAACATGGCTTTTACTTACTCACAAGTCTGCAGGACATGAGATGTAGGCTTTCTGTTTTCGTCGCGCCAGTCGGTGTGACTCGCAGGCTGCAGGCTTCCGTCTGTTGCCCTCGTGTTTTTTTCGTGGCGAAAGCCGGCAACTCTCTTCTCGGCATGGTCAGGAAAAGGTGTCGGCTCCGTCACCATCGGTAAGGCGATGAGGCGTCCGCAGGCGACCGACGAGCTACGCCAGGACGGCGGTGTTTCGTCTTATCGCTGCGGCGAACGAGCATCATCGATTTTCCTCTTCTGCCTTGGCAAGCTTGGATTCTTGTGAACGGGTTGCGCTCTCCCTTCTAGCCTCCATACTCTTTGGCGTCGCAATCGCTCGATCGAGACTTCGCCGTGTGTCTGTGGCTGTTCAACGGGTGAGAGTCATATACGCGTCCCCGAGCACTTGGTCAATTTGAGCTGAGTCATGGAAATGTAAGAGCGTCCGTTGCGCCGTTGGCCCTTCCGTTGACCAAGGCTTTCGCGCTGGAGTCATGCCAGTGGTGTCATCCTCCATACTGGCTTCGGATTCGGCGGAAGGGCATCGAGCGGATGATGACGTTGGTGTGGTGGTGACTTGCTTGTTACTTGCGGACCGAGTAGGCTTCATTGATGGCTACCAAATGCAGTGCGGAATCTATGGACTTCTGTGGCAAGACTTCCATTGCATTGTTCGGCGGCTCTCGACTTCTCTTCCAATTGGTGGACGAGCTGTAACCAGTTGTCATTGTCGTGCTTTGTGTGGTGGATGTCGGCCTCGAAAAGATAAGATACTTGGATGATTGGCCACCCTGTGACGACGAGCCTGGGTATAACAACACGAGACCATCCACATGACTTCCAATCCGGTAGGTTGGCCAGCGCAATTCATATCAGAAGGGCCAATGCGCGGGATGAGTCGCCGAAGGTCCTCGTATATTATATTCTTCTGCCACCATACTCGATCCACAACCGGCGATATGATCTCTTCGAATTTGCTGCTGACAGTGTTCTCAAGATCGGGTCTGACGATGAGCCTTCAGCTTTCGAAGACGCCGCTGTACACACTGCAGCCCCTCCGTTCTCTGCCGAGTTGCGTAGCAAACGAAGAGTATCCGCGTGGAAGCGGCCGTCCAAGGATCTGAACTCGTGTGCTGGTCGAAGATTTTCTGATGAATAGACTCTCAAGATAACCAACCTGTAGTTGCTTGGCTGCGTAGTGTCAATGGTGGTAGTATAGTAGCTTTGCCAGCTTCCGATTTAGTCCACAGAATTCCGAATGCGATTCCAACCAGAAGGGAATTAGGAGCTCTGAAAAGCTTTTAAACAAGCAGTACTTCCATGTTTGCTAAGAATGGAAGTCATTAATAAGCTTCGGAAAAGCCTGCCCATACCTCTCCATTCGGAGTGTGGTGCATCATACGCCGTATATTGAACCCAATCTAATGCTGGGGCAGGCTTCGCAACCGCAGAAGGGTCAAGTCTTACGCCGGTGTCGCGAAGGAATCCTCTGACCACGTATATGAAAGTGTGAATAGACAGGGCAGGGTGGTTTGGTTTTGGGATCCAGGGCGTTGTGCCCACCACACCCCATTGTACTTCTCTGTGTAGATAGTATATGTTATGTGGCCAAAGATCAAGTAAGAATCTCACATTACATGAAGCATAATGAGTGAACGGTTCAGTTTGCGAAGTCTTGAACTGGGATGATGTGTGAAAGCGAGAAACCATCATTGGGGATCTAATTTTTTATGTGTAAAACGGACCACCACAAGTGAGTGTGACCTCGGATGGGTGAATGGCCATGGGGAATGAACGTGAAATGCTAGCAGACACGAAGAAAGCGAAAGAGAATATGGCATCAGGAAGGGGTTGTCTCTGTAGTCGCTGCGAAACTCAAATCGAGCAGGCTCTCGAAGCGAAATGAAAGAAGATGTTGAAGATGATGGCATGTCTTAGGAACGGGTTTCAGTCCTTCGGAGTTGTTGGCAGCGGGAACGGATTTCCTGTCAGAGACATACATCATCATCAGTGATAAGGCATTCCCTCCAAACCGAATAGTCTTGGCTAGCTTTCATCATAGGTCACGTTGGAATATCCAACCGAACCCCGACTTGCGTCACTCCTGGTCCTAACGCTGTGAGCTTCACATTCTCCGTGTGTCAAGGACTGCTTTACCTCCAAATCGTCATACATCTAGGCAGTCCCCCCAACATCGTCTTTGTCTGTATCTTCCGTCATGTCTCTCATCTGCCAGCCCAGGATGGCCCAGATGCCTCTCATTGCTTCCACTCTGTCGTCCGCCATAAGAAGGTCGAACCATTTTGATCGCTTCATCTCAAGTGCATACCATGTCTGCTGCGGTGCGTTGGAGACCTTGGATTGATCTGGGGTTTTGAGAAGATAGTCGATATATTTCTGGTGGATGCGAAGGTGGAGGATGGAAATGTGGTGGTTGATGGCTGAGGCCAGATAGATCTAGAGTGGTGATTAGTAAATCACATGCAACAAGGACACACACGGGTACCGGGATGAGTCTGAGCCCTTCCGTTGGCCTCACTTACGTCGTCATACTCGCTATTCTTATCTTTCCCAAGTTGTTGATACCTCACGCCTCTCTCCCAGATGCTGGAAGGCGGTTGCAAACTCATCCAAGCGTCCATGCGGCTCGACTTCTTCAGTCTTTTGCGTGAGAATTCGAATGATGTGGGGTCTCCAGTGGTTTCTTCGTCGGCGACTCCTAGCTCACCGCCAGCGCCACCACCCCACCGAGGTGCGTTTGCCCACCATTTGCCCTTACCTGGCACCTCTTCCTCCTTTCCTTCTCTCGCTCGTTTCTGAGCCAGCATCAACATCAAGCCAGTCTCTCGAAGCAAATCCAAGATCTCCTGCTTTCCTTCACCTTCAACTTCGTCAAGGCCACGGAATGAGGTTTGCTCTCTGCAGAAAACACCTAACATCGGCCCCTCTGCCACCCCTCTCCTCGCTTCTCGGACATCTTCTGGCACGCGATGGACTGATGCTGCGTGTAGAATGGGGATGATGGTGCCTTGTAAGTTGAGTCTCTGTTGTGAATGGGGTTGCTCTAGCCTGCAACGAAAAGCCCAGGTGAGTGTCTCGACAAAGGCGAAGGCTGTGTCCTCGCGGTATTTGCCTGGCATGTCTCGGCCCGTCCCCGTCCGATGTCCTGTATACGTCTTCTTTAGTTCTCCACCCTTGTCTGTCTCCATTTTCGGCCCAGCCTCGGTTGCTTCCGAACGTAGCTCATCTACATCCATAGCAGACTTGCTCTCTGTATGTTTGCTGTCCGAGTACTTGTCAAGACTGGTATCCCAATGCTCAGCCACCAGAAGCAAGCCTTCCCAGAACTTGCGAAAGTGAACGATGCGGGCAGGCTGACGATTCGGAAGAGGAGGCTTGCGTTGAATGGCACGAAAGGCATCCTCATTGCTATGCAAAAGTTCCCTTACTCGGACGAAGAATTCGTCTTTTCCCGGGATTGGTGCTCCGTTACTCAATGATTTTGACCTTGACAATGCGGCTTGGGATGACTCCGAAGGTTCACTTGCTGCAGGATATTTTGACCAGGAGGAATGTGGAATGAAGTCTGTAGGGACGACTTGCTCTAAGGAGAGCTCGTTTGCTAGACTGACATTCAAAGCTTGGAGGTGCTTTGCCGTTGGGCCGGTTCTGAGAGTACTGCTGAATAGCTTGACAAGGTCATTTGACACACCGGACTCAGTGACTGGAAGCTTCGAAGGCTCACAGCGGGGAAATTCGAGAGGGGTTGCCGGAGGTGGTGGCTCTCGTGGATCGTTCTTGTCATCTCGGCGGGCAGCTGGAGTGGAACTCGTTAGCGACTCCCACATCTCCTGCATGTCATCCATGTGGATATCTTCCAATATAGCTGCAAATTTCAAGTCATGAGCAGTACAGCTCTGTAGCAACATTGGATTGTAAGATGAGTAGGAAAAGGCAGAAAAGGGCGAGACGAGAGTGTAAGCCAAATGTTAGGAGTACACATCTGTGGCATGAAACTCAGACCACTATTAACACTAGCTCGGCCCCGAGCCTGTTTCCTTGTCGACACTGCAATGATACGCTGAACCCTACAGCAAATTCACGCCTATCAAAAAAGAAATGAAGCCTTGGCTCGGATTTGTTCCAAGAGCCTGTAATATGAGACAGACAATCCGCGCATGCTGTAAAATATAATATGCAAGATAGCGGGTCACATCGCAGACCGATTGGACTTCCTTTACTTCGAAGCTGCAGCTGAAATGAAGGGGCGAAATGAGAAGTACACCAACTGAGAGCAGCCAAATTTCCAAACATCGTGACCCCTCTCGATCAGTAATTTGGACCTCTTGAGCCCCCAGTCATCTTGCAGAAGATGCCAGACCAACTCGTGAGCAACACGGCGGCATTTGAAGGTTGGAGATCATAACCTGAAACACAACGTCGAACGAAGAGCAATAGCATGAGGAGGAAGAACCAGAGTTCCGCGTCTCCGCGTGAAGCTTCTTCTTGCAGACAGCGGTCTGTCCCGAAGCTAACGCCTTACGGTCTAGGTTTTGTCCAATCATAGAGGACCTTACGATGGCCGCGGGAAAGGCGCCGGCTCCCTCAAGCCTCTAGAGTTTCATCTCAACTTGAAACCCGGGACATTGTTGTAGACATCATTGCACTTGAATGCACATATTCCACCCTTTAATCACTGGTAACACTCCCTTGTAAACGGGTCAATCATTTGAGAATTACCAGAGTTTTTCTTATCAGCAACCACGGAAAATCATAAGTATAGTTGAATACAAGAACGCCTCCCTATGCAAATACCCAAATTTCACTGCAATGCTCCCCCTTACTAGATTTGCTAGCAATTCAACCCACCTCAATGTGCTAGTGATATAATTGTATGCTGTTGTTCTAGAGACCAAAGAGCACGTAATAAACCCCAAATTACCTGAGAGGTTGGGTCATGGAACTTTGCTGACTACATACAAATTTAGGTGGGGAGAGCAATAAGCGAAGATGCCAAGCAATACGAAATGTACCCCGGAATCTGCCCCTATTAGCTCTAGGGTGACCGCCGCTCGAGCCTCTAACGTTAGACTAAAGATCTAAAGATCGACCCATACAGCGATACCTAGTCGGAACTCCGAATCCATCATCACTAGCATAGCAGGAGGAGATCCTGGTGATGCGCTCGAAGGATATCAAATGGGCGCTGCTCAGTCATGCTTGATACTTTACTTTAGCTGTGGAGAACTTGCTGCGCTTGGCAGCAGCCGATAGCTCGCTTGCGCACTAGGCGAGCGCCTATCAGATTCAATACTTCAGTTTACATGTTTTATGTGCCAGGCCGCAGATGAAATTACTCCAGTAGTAAGTAAGCCATGGACTTGTGACATAAGAGAGTAAGAGTGAGATGAGCTAATAGAGGCGGAAGCTACCTCTTTCGAAGCCTAGAGTGGTGTCGGTATCCGAGGTCTGAGGTGTTTGGGTCTCTGACGTTGCAGAGCGTTTCTCAGAACTCTAGACTTAAAACATCGCGATTGAAACGCTTGGCTGTGGTGCTTGACATGCCAAGAATTTAGAAAAAGGGCATAAGTGCCTGAAACAAATTGCCACCAGAGACGACACTTGCTGAATTCAGACGCGGCGCATTTCCCGTCAAACAAGCGAGCAACCATCAGAAACATTCATCGGTAAAACAATTAGGCAGCTGGAACGGTTTTGCCTTGGTCGACCACCTTCGATGAAGACACATCCCTCCTACAGACCTCAAAGGCTCAAACAAAGATGGAAACATCCAAGATGTCATCATTCTCTTTGTCACCAATGATGTTGGTGCTTTGCTGTCGTCCGTATGCTGAGGAATGCTCTTGCAACGTCAGAGGCTCAAACATGCCTCTGATCTCCGACAGTGCTGTCTTTGTGAGCATCATAGCCAACCATTTGGACGCCCTTGGCTTCGGACATGGTGGCCTCTGTGGCTGCGCAATATGAAACCTCCAAGATATTCAACATCCTCTTTGTCACCAATGATGTTGGTGCTTTGCTGTCGTCCGTACGCCGAGAAACGCTCTTGCAACGTCAGAGGCTCAAACATGCCTCAGATCTCGGACAGTGCGGTCTCTGTAAGAATCATAGCCAACCATTTGGACGCCTTGGCTTCGGGCATGGTGGCCTCGGGGTCTGCGCTTTGTCTCAGGATCCCGATGGAATGTTCGGAACATCGAGCAAGCGCCAGGCGAAGGATGAAAGGGATCCATCTTGTTCTATAAAAGCTGACCTTCTCCCCATATGCCATCTTTCTTTTCATACTCCGCATCACACACCTTGTGCGCATACCTTCAACACACCATTTCATTACGTTCTTCCATCGACCACACACACCTCATAAGACACCTTTAGGACGTTCTTTCACCTACCCATAGGGTACTCTCGACCCTCTCATCGTCAAAGCCCTGCATATCATCATCCTTTACCAGGCTCTCATCAAAACCCGACAGCCCATTCCTTGCTCAAGATATAATCAGCTCAAAATGTCAGACCGACTAGCCCCTAAGCCCACGGCAGTAGTTGGGCCTTCAAGTGGAGCATCAGTACCAACTACAACTCTGAGCAGTGACGATATGCCAGTGTTTGGTGGATCGAAAATGTCCATCCCCATATTCATTATCGCCTTCGCCAGCTACAATTTTTTCGAGTTTCGTGGGAGATCGTTAAATCGAGAAGAAGTCCTAGGCATAGTATGCGTCTGTTACGGCAGACGCGAACCCCCGGACAACAATTACTCGCTGTACAAGAGAATAGAGAACCCGGATCAGAGCTTGAACAAAAAACTCGACGAGTTGACGGACTCGAATAAAGACTACTTGAGGAAGCAGGTTTCTGATCTGTTTCAAACTTATCTAGAGAGGAATCCGGTAGCCAGATTTGGAGCTGACGAACTGGATGGATTGTAAGTGCGAATGTGATTCTGTGTGGACGAGACTCTTGCTGACTGGTGGGTTTGCTGCCTTACAGCCAAGGGAGGATGACATCTTTGCCATGGGGTCACAAGGATTGGGCCCAATCCAAACCGGGGTTGAACCTTCAAACCTTACGGGATGAACAGCTCTACCTTATTCACGCCATCATGCATTGCTGTGTAGACGCTGGAGATAACCGAATTACCGAATTCGACACTGCGCAAATAGTCTGTCGACATTACGATTATGATACTTCGCCGGCCATCATAGCCAAAAGCTCCGTCTTCAAGAATTTGGCAAACCCGGAACACAAGCTCTGCCAGATGGTGGCTCATTTCATAAATGAGCGTAGGCATAAAACGTTTTTCGAAGCCAAAGCTCATTTTCTGTATGACAAGTATTCCAGAATAGGAGTCTTGCGATTTCGAACCATCATAGAGGGCGAGTTAGTTGGCCTATCTTCTATTGATGGAGAGGAGGATATGCTTACAATGGCAATAGAATTCCTTCAAACGCTGTTCCAGCAGCAACCCGAGAATTGGCAAAATTATCAGTGGGAGTCACCGCAGGTCCAAGCCAGGCCAGAGCGCCAGATACACCCCAGCGCACCCAGGATCTATTTAGTCAATATACTCACCTAAACTCGCCTGAAATTCAATCCCCAGAAGCTTCGTCACCTCCCGATGAAAGCACCAGCCACGAAGCAACCGGGAAAGGCAAGGGGAGGTCGCTAGAGTCTAGTTCTAGCCCATCAGGGGAAGAAGTGTCTGGGAAAGGGAAAGGGAAGGGAAAGGTTGCGAAAAAACCTAGGAAGTGAGGGGAGGGAAATGCGGGTGGGAGGCATTATGAGAAAACGGATGCACGGACGTTGGGGAGTTTAATTTCCGGGAAAGACACTCAGACACTCCTTTAGTATCAGCATGCGTTCCTTCTTGTTCTTTCAAGCCCCAACTAATAGTACTCCTTGTTGGGCGCAGCGACAGCGGATAGATAGAGCTTGCATTTATTCGGATCCATGTTTTTTCACATCAGATCGCATGATCTCAATCCTGATAATTTGACTCCATTCAGCAAAAGCTGCGTCCTGTACTCTACCCATTTGATACTCCCCGTCATCTCTCTCATCTTCCCACGGCCTCTGTGGCATTTTCAAACTGATTTGCGTCTGCTCTCCTACGGACCCGGTTTCGCCAATGTACGACGCGGATTGGCCCATCGGTGCCGGTCTTCTTGCCGTGCGGCGAAGCGGGATCCTTGTGTTCTTTTGACCTACCTATGTGGATGGGCCTGAGGTGAGGCATCTGATAAGCTTGTGGGGATAGTATTGGAGAAGGAAGGAAGAGGTAACTTTTGGGAATTTTTCATCTCATCGGCATATTGCTTGGTGGGGCATTCGGTGAGAAACCATAACGGCGGTATGCTAACGGCTTCGTGCGCCACTGCTATGGAAAGGATTAGAGGTGATGGGCCTGACCATGGCACCTCGCCTGTCCCATGAGTCGGATATTACTTCCAATTTTGATAGGTAGATATTCCTTCACTCTTCAATTATTAAAGTCTATAGTCAAAGCCGTGCGTCTGTAGATAAAATATCTTCTAATAAATTGCAGCTTTAACCAACATCGGAAGAGATCTTCCACATCTTCCAAGTGTTAATAGGAGATTCCAATTGACCTACGGCGTTATACATAAAGAGAAAAGTATCTAAACGTCCCCCTCGTAACATTTCGCAACCTTAGAATATTATCTTCCCACAATCACCAGGACCTAAACCCCGTCCATTTCCCCTCAGTCACAAGGGGATTCCATCCTTATTCTTTGTTGTTCGTGGCATTTACTTCCAACATATCGTCAACGAAAATTCCCTCCGACACAAAGCCGGTTCTAGCTGCCTTGCGTGGCCAAAATCTCGCCATAGCCAACTTCAAAGGGAATCTTCTGTGGCTGGCATAGCAAGATCAATCCCAACATCGGAGAGCTACGCCAGGATGTGAACACTTGGCTCGAGAGGTACGCTGCAACTCCTTCCTAGAAGTTGACATTCACAAGACAGGAACAAAGGGAAATGGAAAGATCCTCTGCAAACCTGCACACAAAGAATACTGCAGTACGCCGAGCAGCTGCGGTCAATCCTGCAATACGTTCGAGGCGTTAGGAATTTACCTCGCGTTGTTCTAGTGACTATGGCCAAGGACATATGGTTACCCGCTGCCCGTGGGTCTCCTAGGTCAGAGCCACACTCCACAGCTAAGGATTCCTCCGACAGCCCCACGCACAGGTACTGAGGCCCTAGCGATCCCTCAAACACCCTTGTTCTACTCCATCACCAACCCTAGGCACTACGCGCTCTCCTCTTCTCCCCAGCCTTCCTCTTCCCAACCTTTTCTAGCGTGAACATCTCGCGAACCCAGCCTTGAAACTCAGATTCCTCACTCAATCCCAAGCTTGGGGTAGAATTGCCCGATCTGCTCCGCCTCCCTCCATGATCCAGTTTCTTTCCCATGTACCCGCGTAGCGCCTTCTGAAAATTTGAGTCTTGACTCAGGCTCCGGGTTTCTGACAGAGCGCCGCCATCCTTACATCTCCACACCATGATCTCAGGTGTTTGCTCATCGATGTCCCCGTCATTGGCATCGACTCCCTTCAGCGTGCCACAGCAGGCTTTGACTGTGCGAATGTTAGCCAAGTTGGTCTGGCTTATCCATTTTTCGATCTTCTTAGACTCGCGAGCGGTGATGACGTCGCCGGCGACTTTGTCCTTGCCAGCTGTCTCTGTGCGGTTAGCCGCTTTTGCCTCGAGCGCGTTCTCTTCCTGCTCACCTGCATCGCTCATCTCCTCTGGTGAAGCTAATATTTCCTCACAGAAGCGAGGGACCCCGTCCACGGTCTTCGCGATAGCGATTTGCCCCTTCTCATGATCGTCTTCCAAGGCCGTTTGCCGCGAAGTACTAGCTGCAGACGTGAAAGGAGGAGCCCCATCGTTGCGAGCAGCGGGGTTGGCGACGCACGTATCAGCGTCAGTCAGACGGTGTATTGCCGTCGCTTGCGCCTCAATGAAAGGAGATCGAAAGGCACGTCTCAGCCGTTCACACTCGGCTTGGTGCGCATGTAGAGCTGCACAGTCAGAAAGGCGGGGCGTAGGCTGAACCGAGACCTCACGGTATGCTTTCTGAGTCAGCGTGGTTTCGAGGACCCCCTGTGGTGCTGAGCCTTCGCGGTGTGCCTCTTGGATGGGTGTGGCATCGACGGTCTGCTGTGGTGCAGACACCTCGTGATGTGCCTCTTGAATGGGCGCGGTATCGGAAACATCCTGTGAGGATGGTGCCTCTTCCGGAACCAGCGTCTCACCCATGGTTTCCTGGATGCTCCGTGACGGTGGCAAGGCTTGGTTGTCGAAGCAGACCCCAGTCAGAGCGACGAACAGAAGAGTCAACAAGATGCTCAAGCCAAGGGCATAGAAGAGATAATTGGTGATGGTGCGGAAGGTACCGACGGGGTTGAAGATGACGCAGATGCAAGTCGAGAAGCTTGATAGGCATAGGCTGACGCTGAGGATGTAGAAGAGGAACATGACGGCGACGTTGAATGTCAGTGGGTTGCCATATCTGGAGCTCGGGTTTCGGTCCATGGTCGGATTGGAGGGGTGGAAGCTGGTTGTTGGCTGTTTGCTTCTGTTCTGTTGCGTTTGCATGGTGGCTGCTAAGAACTTTGAGGATGGAATTTTGAAAGCTGGAGGTTTCTTCGACGTTTGGTAGGATAGGAGTAGGCACCTTGTTGAGTGTTGAATGAAGTAATGTGTCAGCGTGTACGTAAAACGAAGACACTGTGTAGAAGTATTGTCTTTGTTCGATAGGATACAGGGCGATGGGACCGCAGATCTCGGCGATGGGACCGCAGATCTCATTGCGGTTGCATGCCTTCAACACTCCAGCAACAACACCTTTGTTCCTGCTTCCTCCCAAGTTTCAAGTCTTCGACACTCCAGCAACGACACCTTGATTCACGCCCTGTCCCAATACAAATCACCACCGTCCAGTCTTGCTCCCTCCAAATGATCAAGCGTCCTCCAACCACATCCCACAGCATCCACCAACAACGAAATGAGTCAAACCCAGAACTCGCACAGTTCAGCCACTTCCCCTTCTCTAAATCTGCCGAGAAGGCAGCGGTGGAACACAGACGACATCCTCTGCATGGGCGACGACTATACCTACGCCGATGCCGCAAAAGAGATCACGTGGTTATGGAACGAGTGGGCAGACAGTGCCGAGAACGTCCTTGGCGGGATAATCGATCAGATGGAAGAAGTGGACGTGTCATACGACGACTACCTCGACTTCGTCAGACAACTCGCATCATATCCCGCACGACCGGCCCTTCCCGCCGCCGCCGCAGACGCGCAAAACACGTCAGACCGACCGCTGAGCGGTGTCTGGAACGAGTGGGCGGACGTGGTTGAGAGGATCGTAGACGAGATGAAGAGGGCCGTCGATCGGAGCGTTCCGCTGCCGAGGGAGCAGCAGACGCTATGCGCCGGCAGAGCTTTCGACTCCAGCCTGGATCTCTCGAACCAGGACCCACCGCCGATGCATATGGCTGCTCATTTGCGGGAGATGTTGCGGGATGGCACCGTCTCCCGCGATGAGCTGGCCGAGTTCATGGAGGATCTGAGCCTTTAGCAAAGGCATATCACGATGGATTGATGGCTGGGGTAGCAACTTGTTTGTTTGTTTGCTCCAATGTTACTGGGTGGAAGGACTCCAGTCAGACATGACATCGAATCGTTCAGACGGCGCAAAATAATGATCAAGATCTGACAATCTGCTCAATCTAGTGATGTGTGGTCCAAGTAACTACCTCGTAATGAAGCGTGTGGCACGGTGATCTACTTGCCAGTAGCTTTCCAAAGTGATGATGGTTTACATTGCAAGTACATACCGCTCGATCCTGTAATTTTTGGAGAACGAATCAATCCAGTGAAATTTGTAAAATCTTCGAGACAGAGAAATGAGCGTGCGAAAAAATACGGAATCACCTATGATACGAGAGCAGAATGTGATGAGTCTTTGTCTGACTGTATTGCTAGCTTCACTGAGCCCTATTATTCAATCCACTTGGTATCCGCAAAATTATGGTGGCGCGAGAGGTAAGCGTGGACGTAATCACTGATCCACTTGACAAATCGGTCAATGCAGTGAGTACCTTTAAATAGAAAGCCTGTAGGTTTAGCATTCGCAATATGAGACATGGTGATCCGATTTAGAGCCCATTGGCTTCTGCAGAAATGTTAGAAAGGAGCGCCAGGTCTGTGGGATAGCATTCATAAGTCTGTTGGAACCACAGAGCGGGGGCGATGTCAGCCTCCTTCAGAGCAGCAATTGCTTACACCATCAGCACAAGGGAGTCGACGCACCTCGACACAGATCCACTCTCGCCTGGTCTGCATAGCTTCTCTACTGGCTACAAAAACCTCACATACGGGACCGGTCCTTCACTCGTAATATGTCAGGTCCCTGGCTGGGGGATTGGCCCATCCTACCTTTCGAATGGCCTAGCTCCTCTCCACGACTCATTCAAGATCCTCTATTTCACTCCACGCGGCACACCGCCGTCCAACCGTCCCCTTGATACCTTAGAGATGAGCTCGAAGCACATGGTCGATGATCTTGAGATTCTGCGTCAATACCTCAAGCTGGGCAGTATGCTCCTGCTGGGACATTCCAATGGTGGCAGCATTGCATTAGGGTATGCTCAGCAGTATCCTTCTCACGTGGATAAGTTGGTACTGCTTGACCACGAGCTGCAAGGATTCGACGATTCGGCTACATATATCGAGTTTGCGATGAAGAGAAAAGACGATCCGATGTACAGTGCTGCTCTGGAGCGACTACAAACATTCAAAGCGGACACGGATGAGAAGATGCAAGATGAATTGAATGGCATTTTGCCGTTCTACTTCGCCAATCCAACGAAATTTGGGGCGAGGATGCTAGAGACGATGCAAAACATGCCTTCTTCTTGGGCTCTGAACCATCAACGTGCGGCTGACAGGAAGAGGCCTACTTACCTAGTTGACGATCTAGACAACGTGACAGCCAAGACTTTGATCGTGGTTGGCCGGGAAGATCCCTTCTGCAGTGTGAAAGCTGCCGAGAAAGCGCACGCCGGCATGGCCACATCAAAATTGGTCGTTCTCGAGGATTGTGGGCATTTCGCTTGGATTGAAAATGAAGAGTGCTTGGACGTCGTAAGCCGGGTTTTGAGGGAATAAAGAATTGGTCCACTGTTGATCGAGAAGACGAGGAATATATGGTTGTATATTGTATCAACAATGGAAATTTGTGAACTTGGAAACGTTTGTAGTTCGGTAGATAGTACGCAATTCGTCTTGTTAAAATTATGATATTGACGCGTTCCTGAAGAAACGGCAAGTCGCAAGGCTGCCAGACAGTCGGATGAAGTAAGTCTGAGGAGACCAAGCTCCACTCAAGAACCAGTTCGTAGGCTATGGCCCGTGTCTTCTTCATATTTCGAAGCCATGCCTTCTGTTCGAACAATGGTTGGTTGTGTGGTGAGGGATTTTCTCTCCGCCGCGAATAGCCGAAGCTGCGGAATTAACTTCCTATCTTTAGTGCCGAGGTTGAAAGAGGGCATGGTGATTTAAATCCAACAACTTCAGGTGCAATCCCTTCAAACATTGCCATCTCAAAATCATGTCCCATGTGAAGGTACTGTTTGGTACGGCGTCGTTTGGCTCATTGCCCACGGAGGCCAGTCAAGAGTTCCTCGATCTCCTCAAAAAGTACAACGTCAAGGACCTTGATACGGCCAACCGATATGTAAGGGTGCATCTTCAAATTTCGAGGACAGGAGCTGACTACATGAGCCCACAGGAAGGAAGTGAGAGAGCGCTGAAAGAGCTAGGCGCGACCTCAAGCTTCACCATTCATACGAAATCCCCAGGATTTGCCAAAGGTTCTGGGACCAAAGCATCAATATTGGCAGCTGCGAAGCAGAGTTTCGAAGATCTGGGTGTCAACAGCGTATTTCTGACCGCCTGGACCAGTTTCGAAGGCCGCTGACGTCTTCTGTAAAGGTCGAAACCTATTTCGTGCATTCTCCGGACCCCTACACTCCGATTGAACAGACAGTCGATGGTATGCAATTGGTCTATGCGTCGGGCAAATATAAGCACGTAGGTCTACTTGCCTGGTACAATGTAAGACATAGTCCAGCTCTGAAGCTTACGTGTTCCAAAGTTCGGGCTCTCGAATTTCAAGCCGGAAGATGTGAGGAAGGTATACGACTATGCCAAGTCGAAAGGATACGTTCTGCCGACGGTCTTCCAGGGGAATTACAACCCCGTCGCTCGCCACTATGACACGACGCTTTTCCCACTCCTTCGAGAACTCAACATCGCTTTCTATGCGTATTCTCCTCTGGCTGGTGGATTCCTCGTGAAAGACGCTCAGACACTCAATACAGGCGGCGGTCAAGGCCGATGGGATCCGACTTCCTTTCTGGGAAAGCTGTATAATGAGAAATACACCAAACCGTCGCTGCTCGAGGCATTATCTGAGTGGGACGCGATTGCCAATGAGGCTCGTGTGTCCAAGGCTGCGTTGGCCTATCGATGGGTAATGTACAACTCGAAGCTGAGCGCTGAGCATGGCGATGGTATCATCGTATGTATCTTCGCAGCCCATATCCCCTCTTCTGAACCACATCTGGCGGCATGAAACATGTCTGCAGAGTAGACACTGTTTCGAGGCTCAAGCATTCCTGTTGCAATGTATGCTGACCCCGAAATCCCTACGCAGATCGGAGCGACTCGAGGGTCGCAGCTCGCAGAAACGCTGAGGGCGATCGAGGATGGGCCATTAGACGAGAGTATTGCGAAGAGGATTGACAAGGTGTGGGAACTTGTGAAAGATGAGGCGCCTGTTGACAATTTCAATCCGTGATAGTTTGGCTTTGCGATCTCATGATTGAATACATATAGGTATAGACGATTAATTAAGCTTGCTGATGGCCTTGGCGTGTCTCTCAAGGGTTGTAAGCACACGGCAATGTTGAGCAAGTAAACAGGAACAGGAGAAGAGCACGGACAGCGCTCGCACCAAATGCAAGCGTGCCTCCATGCGAAGATCGACGCTCAGACTTGGCAGGGGTGGGGCTTCCCAGGGGAATTAAGCGTGCGGACCCAACTCAACGTAGAGCGACAGCGAGGAAAACCACAAAACCATATCCCCTCGACCCTTCCCTCTCATCCTCAGTCTGTATAGCATACATCCGCGTGTTTCTCTTCTTGCCAATTTATCACCCTATTTCTCCGGCGCTTCCCCTACAAAGATCCGCCTTCTACCGACAGAGCACCACCCCTTGGCCGAAGTGCCTCTCCCCTGGCGCTGCGGTCTCGTGAAAGGTCGAAATGGTCATGCAGCCAACCGCTCGACCAATATAATCCTTCCCGATCCATCACTTATGGACAATCGACGTACAGCCTATTGATACCTCCCGCAATTCAAGTGGCAACACGCCTCTCCTGCGCCGCCTCCCCCTCCACGGACAATACCACTCGACTTCGGCAATTGTGTATAGGTACATCTCGCGGCACGGAGAGCTTACTGTACGAATCTTCTCCTGGAGCCTTCCCTCGAACTCCAACACGACTCAACCGTTTATTGAGATATCACAACGATATAAACAATATACAAACTGTTTATATCGGTATAATGGAAGGGAAATGATCGGATCAAAGTGAGAGAATGGTTTGAGGCGGAGGAAGTCAAAAGCTGGCAGGCCAATCGGAATTACGTATCGCTATAATCGGAAGATCGATCAGAAGAAACCGGCATCTCCGTTGTTATACTACAGTCTACAGGAGCCATTTGCATGCCAGCTTACGCGCTGTCTTCGCTGTGCCCTCGATTCTCTTGTCCGGCGTCTAAAGTATTGTGAAATACTACATTCCACTTGAGGTCAGACACTGCTCGTGATTGGTATGGCATCGTTGGCCAAACCATCTACACACCAGCGACAGGGTTCCAGGCCCAATTCAGCATCATCTTCCTCCGTCATCACTGTACAGCGTGCCTCCTCAGTCACCGCACGGAACGGTGCACACCCACCAGTCACAGGTCTGAGATCGCAGAGTCCCAACGAAGCGAGTACGATAACCGCAAATCTTACAGGTCGTACTCTGTCTCCAGAAAATACCAAGCGAAGGTCTAGCGCTTTATATACTCGGCCAGATAGTGGGAATGGCTTTCGAGAAGGCGTGGGTAATCTGAATAGATGGTCTCAATCCACGGCCTCAAGCAAAAACTCTGCGCACAACAGACGCAGCAGCTTTTCAAAGAGACTTTCTGAATCATTTGGTTCCTTTGGTGGCTTTGCGGGCGGTCAGACGCCATCTCCCAATGCAACATTTTCTACCAGAGGACGACCATCCCCGCAGAAAAGCCCTCCAGCGTTAGCAAAGATGTCACCACCTTCGAACCCACCGCCAATACTACCTCCTATCGTCACACTATCATCCCTGTCTCAGGCTGTTGACGCAGCGGATTCGCCGTCGACAGTCGCCACAGTTACTCCTGCGACAGCTGACATACTCTCACCGTTAAACCACACCTCGGCCCAGCGCGACTATTTCGGGAACGGGTGGGGCTCTCGCTCTCCTACGAAACCGATGGTGGGAATGAAGCGGCCGGCGCCCTCGCATTCTCCTAGAGCCAACAAACCCTCGCCAATAATCATCGATAATTCCACAAGCCCTGGATCGCCTGGCCCTCCCGAATCCGTCTACTCTCCACGCACTGCATCTCGGCTCAAGCATGCGTCTCGTCGAATCTCGCAAAATGGGCATCATCGGCATAGAGACGACAGTAACAAGGGTAGTGGCACCACCGAGGGGGAGAGTTCAGCCTCTGACAACCGTGCTCGGGCTGATAGAGTGCAAAAGCGCAAGGCGCCTTCGCAGAAGGCCATGTTGTCTAAAGCTTTGCAAAAGGCACACCATGCAGTCACCCTCGATCAGCACTCAAATTTCGAAGGAGCCATGAATGCGTACCAAGATGCTTGTGCTTTGCTACAAAAGGTGATGATCAGAAGCTCGGGCCTTGAAGATCGGCAGAAGCTGGATGCTGTTGTAAGTTGATGGCCATCCATAAATCAAAGCGGAAAGCCACGCTAATATTCGTTGAAGCGCAATACGTATGAAGCACGTATCGCTGAGCTACGGGGCACTGACGCAGCGTATCGCACTGCAGATGGCAAAACTCTGCCACAGCGTCCTCCGGAAAGAGACTCGAAAGACTCCGAGCGGTTGTCAGTAGTCACGGACACTGACGATGGAGAGACAACCTTGGGAACATCAACGGTAGCACCTCTCGGCAACGAAGAGAAACGCAGGGAAAAGTTACCGCATCTTGGCCAATTGGCCAACATACCCCCAAGACGACAGTCATTACAGACAACCGCCTACATGGTAGAGGGCAGAGATATTCAGACTTCGAGTCGAATGCAGGACCAGCGACCGCTACGAGCAAGATATGTAGGCCAGGAGACCATCGACGAGACTCACTTAGATTCTGGTACAGCAGTTTACCAAGAGTATATGCCGCCTCCCCTGTCGCCGCGACGTCCTCTATCGCCAGCTCCTGTAAAAGGGAATACTACGCAGTCATCTACAGATGTATCAGCGCAATCTGCACCAGACGAGGATTCTAATCCGTCAGACTCTATTCGCCAGGATAATGGAGAACATACGTCTTGGCTTAACACCATCAACGAATCGAGCGGCTCTTCAGCTTCATCTGTGCATTCGCGGAGGTCATCCGTAGGTCTCAGGAGAAAGCACATACGACCCGCAAGCGGTCAAACGGAGGCAGAATTTGATGCAGCCCTCGATGCAGCAGTGGAGGCAGCCTACGACGATGGATTTGAGCCCGATGATGAGGGAGACTATGACGAGCAGCTGATGAACGATCCTGAGTACCCTTTTGAAGAATCCGGAGCCCTGTCTCATGCGACTAGAAACGTTGAGCTAGCCAAAGAGGATGTCCGTGAAGCTGAACGAGAGGCTGCGATTTCCCGAGCCAAAGAGAGAGAAAAAGAACGACTTCAGACCGCGAGAGACAGCATTGAGTTGGAGTACAACGACGAAGAAGCTGATGAGGAAGAGCGGATGCTGGAAGAAATGACCAGGGACTACATCATGGATGATGAATATGACCTTCAGACTAAGTCCGCTCTTCCACGTCAATCAGACTCCAGCGGGTTTTCTGGGAGGACATTGGTTAGTTCGTTTGGCTCGAACCCAACGTCAGCGGGAATCTCACTGTCAACCGTTGCTGAAGCTTCTATACTGCCATCGATGGCGGCGCAGCTAAAAGAGAATCCATTGCCGCCGCCACTGCACCCTCCACCCTCGAGTGCTCTTCCGCCTCCTCCATCGTCGGCATCCTCCAAAATCTTTCAGCAACAGAACGGTACCACGATAAGACCTCCAAGTTTAGTCTCCAGGAACACAAGTCCAGGCGTCCAAGATCGCAGGCTGTCGGGCATGAAACGGAAGCCGCTGAAGATTGAGACGCACGCGAAACACTCAGACACGTCTGAATCTGACGCCCCTAGGACGCAGCCGGCCTCCTCTGCACCTCGAATGATTCCCACTCCAGCAGTAGCCGAGTCACCAAGATCCGCGCTCCTCGTGCCAGAATCCCAGCAGCTTTTGCCAAGCCTTGCTTTCAACCCAGTGCCATCTTCGGCAACACTACCAAGCAGCCGCAAAGGCTCATCGCCGTTTCCTGGATCCGATACCACTGATCAGACTACATCTACTGCTTCTGCTCTAACCAGAGTGACCTCAGCAGATAGCGATAACAGTGTAACATCAATGCCGGCATCACCTGCCCGTTTCGCTAGCAAAGCTGCAATAGGGCTGAGAAAGAACTTCTCCTCGTCCAGTCTACGAAACAAAAACTTGAGTGTCGTTGTTCCAGAGACACATGACGCATCATCGAACGCTTCTCTTAGTAGTATGTCGTCGACGCCAAAGCAACAAAGAGTCCCTTCACCAGCCGTGCCTGTTTTACCAACACCCATGGAGGCGAGTTTTATCATCAAAGGGCAACCGATGAGTGGCCCATACCTTTTCGACAATGATATCCACTCTCCCGACACACCCGGCTCTCCGAATCCTTCCGCCAATCATGCTCCTCTACCACTTGAGCCTTGTCCTGAGTCAGCGTTACTCCGACCATTCTGGTTTCTCCGCTCCATCTACCAGACGATTGCTCACCCGAGAGGCGGTTACATTTCTACCAAGCTTTTCGTCCCTCGAGACATATGGAGGGTCAAGAACATCAAGCTGAAGAATGTGGAGGAGAAGGTTTCAAACTGCGATTTTTTGACTGCTGCATTACTCAAGCTTGGGAAGGTCGACAATTTGGATGCGAATGCTGTGAAGGATGAGATGGAGATCTTCGAGACTGTTATGGAACAAGTCCATGCCAATCTATCCAAGAAGCTTGGTAGCGATGTTGGAGTGCAAGGCGCGGCTCAGCTATTCAAATTCTTTGGGGCTGGAGATGAGACAACCTATCCAGAGGCATTGGCATCTAAGACTACAAACGCCAGCAGCAAAAATTACCTGTCATGGCGAAAATTGCGAAACAAAAATTCTTTGGGTCCAGGTCTGCCATCGGTGAGCTCGAACAACGTGACTAGGGACGGTAATAAGGAAGCCCCAACGTTAAGGTCCATACCTATGACTTCGGCACCAAATCCGAGGTTCCCCAAGCGTGATGTCAACCAAGTCCAGTGTGTGGGTCCAAACCCAAGCTACATGGGTGCGCTTGCGAGGCTATGCGATGCTGCACAGGTTCTGGGTAAGCAAGAAATGCGCCAACCTTACTGTTCAGTACTAATCTGAGGTATAGATCAAATCATCCGTCAAGTGGAGGATCCAGGACTAAAGCATTCCTCGCAAACCCATATTGGGCTCGAATTGAGCGCGCGACACGCCGCAGAATTCTTTGGCTTCATCGTGTGCAGGTTCATCTTGACAGACATCGGCATCATGCTGGATAAATTCATCAAGAGAGGGAGCGAGTGGGTGCTGGCGTGACCTTGAGAGCCGAGGAGACAAGCGAGGGCAGTAGTAATATTGCGAAGCGTCCGGGCAGCGACGGTGGGGATATCCCTGATATCACCCGCCTTCCTCAGGAAGCTATACCGCATGACCGGACATGGGATGGCGAGGAGAAACAGGCAGAGTGCTTTTATCTGCAACGCTTCTGGTTAGAGTTTACTTTTTTGATGGCTCTCTGATATTATAGGAGGAGGAGGAGGCTCCATTTACTGTCCATAATACCTACCATACTATGTGTGTATCTGCTACGGCCGACGTGCTGGATCATCTATTAGATAGAGAAGAGAATCGCATCGAATTTGCTTGACGCCTCCGTGAGACTAATTATGAATTCGTCCGAACGCACGAGTCGCCTGAAGAGCGGTACGAGATCCCCAGCCTTTGCGTAGATTCTGTATCGGAGAAATATGTGAGTAACCCTTCCCTCGGCGTGAAACCAGCCGCGGCCGTAAACTCCTCCATCATATCCCGCCAAACACCCTGCTTCCAATCCTCCCCCCTGACGCAAACGTGACATCGTACTTGCCCACCAGTAGCGCCGTCACGGACCACGGCTCCGCGAGCGACTGATTCCTTTCTTCCTCGCGCCAGCTGAGAAGACCGATGCTGAAGGGTGCGGAGGCGCGTTTGTCGGCGATCCTTTGTCGCGTTGGAGTAGGATGGTTTCGAAGGCACGGGCAATGGGTCTGTCGACTGTTGGGAGTGGAGAGTGAGTTTTCCTTTTGGTCAGAGTCTCGTTTCCCTTTCTTTTTGTGTACTCGGGGCTGTTGCGAGGGTTTAAGGGAAGGAAGGGAAAGGACGTATGAACGACGACCCGTGGTATAACTCGGCGCCACGATCGTAGCGTTGCCGGGGACGAAGCGCTCTGCGGTTTCGACGCCTGGGGGAGGGGATTCGGGATAGCCAATTGTTGGGACTGAAGGATGCAGGTGCGGGATGTCGCTGATTGCGCTGTCTGAATGGTGGAGAGTCTTCGGGTAGATTGAGTTAATGCTGTGCGTTGGGGCTCGAACTTTCGACGGTAGACGAGGTAGAATACTGTCGAGGCAACGGAGTTGCTGTTGGGGGTTTCGTTACTTTCAGGGATAGAGGCTACGGAGTCGCCGTGCAGCCAATAGCGATTTTGCTATAGACTGTTCTTTTGTTTGGGGGCTCTCGATTAATCGGAAAGAGATCTGGGCATCGAGGTCAGCTTTGAGAAGGAGGAATATGAAACTGTGGAAATGACATAGATCGGATTTGACTACTTCAGTCTGGATGCAGAGAGCACGTCAGCCTGTGTGAAAGCATTCCCGTTAAAAAGGATTGAGATTGCCGCTGCTTGCATGGATTCGCTCCTCCATTCGATTGGGACACCAGTTTATCATCTTTTTCCAATCCCGCACAGTTAGCAAATCGAAGGCCAGCTGAACCAGTCAGAGTACAAATTTCATAGGACCCAGGAGATCAAGTGCTCTTCGTAGCATGAGAACGGAATAGTGTCACTTTACTCTCCAACAGGATGAATGACTTCGCAAACGCAAAGTCTCCCATCACGTCAAAGCCAAGGAAGTAGAATCATGTTGAGACGTACATTGATTTGCCGGCAGTACATGCCATAAGTTCTTCAAGCAGCAGTCTGTACCCTTTCCCAATCGCTCGCAAAATTGGACTGGTTTTGTACCCCGGTCCTTGTACCAGGCAACGATTGGCGAGTCATAGACCTTTTCCCTCTTCTTGTTTGAGCACTATCTCGAAATCCGCGTTCATGTAATACCTGATTACATAGATCGCTCTTTCCTCCGTAGCACTCTTAGATTAACACAACTAAGTGTCCTACCTCACGTCTTGACAAACCTAACTAGGACACTCATTTTTCAGGTTACCAGCAACCAAAGCTGCTGAACATGACCAAACCGACCTTTGTCCTCGTCCCTGGCGCCTGGATCAAACCCGACATCTACTCTAGCGTCATGGAAGTGGGCACGTTTGGAGATAACGAGAGAGGAGATATGCTTACTGGTTCATCCTGGATGCCTTCGAGGACGTCATAGGATTCGCTGGGAGAAGAGATGCAAGGTTGAGGGTAGTTGGGAGGTTTCCACCCTATTTCAGATGTGAGCATTCCTGCTGGTGGAGGAAAGAGGAAAGAAGTTGCCAAGAAACGCTTGCAGTAATTCTCATAATCTATGGGACAACAAAGTGCCAATACAGGCTCCGGGGCTCTGCAGCCCCGTTGCGGCGCGGTCTACGCAATTGTCGAGGCCAAGAGTCCGCCCGATGACTAACCCACTGCTACGACTTTCTCGCCATTCACCTCGAGGCCTGGCGTAAGCTGTGAGGCTAAGGATGATAGCTGGAAGCGTGTCCTGTGCAGAGCCTTACAGACGTCGTTTATTGGGCCGTTGAGGGTGTTAACCTCAGGCCAGAGGCGGTTATTAATACTCACCGGGAGAAAGCCGTCGGCAAGAAGGAGTTCGATATGTTTGGGGTTGACTTCCTAATACGTAAACATCACGTGGCCACCACGGTGGATGAGTAGCGCTTTAAACATATCAGTTTGATCTCTGTGTAGGTTAGGGTAGCTCATTATCAATAGGTTTCTTCTCGCCGAGCTTGATGCCGAAGGGGATGTAAACATCAACGTATAGCGACGTCTTTCCAGCCCGCTTATATACCAAAATTTTGATCCCCGTCTCCTGTGACATTGCGTACCGTTTCAATGCTAGTATTGTCTAGGGTTTGAGTATTGATGTTGGCCCTGGAAAATGAGGTCAAGGGTGCTCGGTCTCTCCGCTGGCAGTCAATTTTCGAACACGTGGGGACCATAGGGGAGAGTGCGCGCGATCAGGTCGAGGGCAATTAGGGTGAGCTCACCGATGGCGTTGCAGTACCGTTCTGCTGGTTGCTGAAATTGGGACGAGGCGAAGATGGAGAGAGTATAGGTAAGACAAGGAAAGAGCACACTGAAGTATATACATTTTGTAACTGAGAAGCAAAGAAAGCCGCTTGCACTTTCCAATGCTCCAGTCAATTGTCGAAATGAAGCGGGGATCATTACCCTACCTCATAACCTTCCAATCATTCCGATCACCAAGATGATACATTAAGAAAAGCAAGTAGGTATGTGCACGGCCGAAAGATGTGAGTAATCAGAGACTCACTCAGTATATCTGCAGCCTAAGTGACTATGGAAAGAAAAAGAATCATCACAGCTTCATCTGGGACTACCTTACCTCTCGTATATATCTTGGTGATATTAAATAATCGTGTGCTTTATGCGCTGATACATTACTTTATGAACCAGCCGCGTCTCCGATCTAGCCCCCAACGGATCAAACCGATTAGCCAAAAGCTTGCGGAACTTTTACACGGGATGCCAAGAAACGGTAGAGGATATCTTAGAGTCCAGTCACAGTAGCCCTAGCCCTATGAGCATTGTCGCTAGTAGCGCCATTTCCACCCACAACTTTGACCATAAAGCTCTTGCCTCTCAAGAATCCACACCACATGGCGAGATGTCCAGGTCAAGACCATCAACAACAAAGATTCATCACTTCATGTGCTGCCTCTGGAAATCCTACAGTACATCAGCGCCACCTTTTTACCTCCCGATGCTGCAGCCTCTCTCGCCCTTTGCAGCCGTTCGATGCTGAAGATCCTTGGAGGCCAGGCACTGCGTTCCTTACGTTTGGAAAGTCACACCATCGAGAAGACACGCTTCTTGAAAAATTTGGAGAAAGATCTTCCAGACTGGCTGCTTTGCCATGATTGCTCAATGTTCCACCCCATCGATCAGAATGGAGATCCGAGCCAGCGCTGGCGGTATTTTGATGAAACAGAATGTGTTCGAGGAAATGGGGTGGTGTCGATTGGATATGATTTCCACATACGATACGAACATGCGCAACTACTCATGAGAAATTACCGGCTTGGAAGACCCTATAAGATCAATCTGGAGAGGTTGTCTGACAGATTCGCCAGGCATCTTCCAGAGACAAGTCTTGAGAGTGTGGTCACGGCCAACATTGTCGCAGGTGAACTCCTCTTACAGATCAAATACACGCTGCGGCTGCTTGAGAATTGGGACAGAATCTTGATTCGAATGGAAATTCCAGAACTCTGCCCTCACCTTGTTGATCGCTTCCGCGATTCAATTTTCGCGCAAGCTCTTCGATGTCATTTAAGCCATGCCAATAGATTGCCTTGCATTGAATGTAAGAAGCAGAAGCACTGTCTGGAATGTTCGACATCATTCCAACTGGACATCCGAACGCTTGAAAATCTCGTGACAGAGGTTCAAGTCGACGTCTGGAGATGCCTCGGTTCGTGCGAGAGTCCTTTCGACTCAAAGTGGCGCAGGCAAGCCGACCGATATCTGCCAAACGTAAGTAGAAGGCAAGGGAGGCGAAACGATCAGGAATCTACGGGGAGGGTTTTTCCAATGTTTGGAGCTACGGATGAGGAGCTGGCAAAATGGTGTGCGAGCATCTGAGACGACTTGGTGTTGCCACTATTCAACGGAAGCGTCTGTCTCAATGCATCCACTTTTGGCTCTTTGGTGCCTAGCCCCAGAAGGCTGGCGGAAGTGTGTGTTTCATGCTGCTGACGGTTGGGATTGACAACCTCTAGCCTACCAGAGCGTCAATTGATCATTAGATTCAGGAAAGTGGGAGAGTACGAATCGCTGTTGGTCCACCATAACTTTGGTTATGCTAAGAGTTGCAAGTAAGTCGGATAATATCAGATATATTCAATGGCGGGTGAGCTGTTCAAACGTGTGCGGCCAACCCTTCGACAAGCAACAGACTAGCCGTTCTGCTACCCCAACGCAGTTGGAATCAAGGCGAAGGGAGGATATCACAGAGGACTGGAAAGGGACCAAAGTGTTGATCGAAACGCCAGCTCGACGAGCACCATGTCTTACTTCATCGAATAGTGGATATCATGAGTCTCACTCGGACTTGTTAGCGTTCTGCAATACCAAGGTTGGAGTGGAAGAGCTACTTACCGGACCTCGAAGGTTCGGTGACGGGTTGAGGAAGAGGGTCCGAGCAGTGACTCAAGGGGCGAATATGGCGAAGAAGCAGCGAGGGAATATCGAGGGGTTTGAATAATCACGTCCTCGATATTCCGCCAGATGGCGCCTATCCCGATCAGGTACCAGTGAGTCCACCTTGCCGTATCCGGTAATCCACGTAGGTCGGCCAATGTTAGACCTTCCTGCCCACGCTAATCGGCACGCTTTTGTTCTGTCCCAGTTCACGCAGTTTGCCGTCCCCTTATCAACCCAGCATCCTGCTTTCCCGATCCATCTCACTGCCTGTCGACCCAATCGTGCGAGCTCATCTCTTCCATTCCGTTCCGCGTGCAGCCATGCTTCATCCCTCGTGAGACTCCCATTGTGAGGATCGTTCACACGTGTGTTCCCCTGCCCCATAGCCTACCTTCAACTCGCCGCACACGGTACGAGACCCCTTCCAATAAGATCGAATACCGATCTCGGTGCAGCTGCCGAGCGAGCCAGATGAGGTCACTGCCGCGTTTAGACACGGTTTATGGATGCCAGTCGCTGTTGAGTGGGTGGTAGCAGGTCGAGGCTTGAGTAAGGTCTGCGGGTATCCTTGTAGTGCTCGAGTGGCCATGGTTTTTGGTACTGGGGAAGGGAATTAGTGTTTGGACTCCGAGACGGTGAAGAAGTTTCGTTGCCCGTTTTTCTGTGGGTCGGAAAGCATCTGAGGCGTTGGTGCCGCCGTCGTTGACCGTGGAATGTTCTGCCTTTGAAGACTCGGTGCGGATGGAATGGGAGCGTGGACCTTGATGCGGACGGTTTTCAGCGCTTTGAAGTCTCTGAGCAGAGAGTGATGTTGTCACTACCGAATACAAATGTAGGCAACCGTAATGCTTCGTGATACATGCAAGCCATGACCCATGAGATCCCAAGAGAGAAGATGCAGCCGATAATGCCTCGCAAGATATCCAAGTCCCCTACATCCGAACGCCCATCGAAAGCCGCCTCAAACCTCCCCCCAAGCACCCATTCCCCCACCTCCGACACCAATCGCACTGCCACCGCCGCTTCCCACAGCGCTACCGCCAATATCCCAATAATTCCTGCTCGAACTCCCTAAACTGCCTCCTCTCAATCCCATCCTCCTCGCACTACCGACAATGCTGCTCGCACAACTACTTCCACTTCTTCTCCTTAGCAAGCTATGCCGCCTCGCATGTCCATGTCTCTGTTCCCAGGTTGCTGCAGCGCGTGAAACGAGAGGGTGATACTGCCTTATGATAGCTGCGCGGCGGAGGGAGTCTGGGGTGGATGTAGTGGCGATGTTGAGAGGTGGTTTGCTTGTGGCTGCGGGGCGTCGTTGGGACGTGAAACGGTTGTGGAGGAAGCGAAAGACGGTTTTGATGTCTGGGGTTTGTTCCCAATATTCGCGGTCGTCTTCTGGAGTGGCAGGGGCGGGTTCTTCTTCAATGCCCCAGAGGGCAGCATGTGTGGAATCAGCGGCAGAAGTTTGTGCGGGGAGAGTTGCGTCTTGCAGGGTCGGTCTGAAGTCGAAGGATGCTGCTGCATTTGCGGTGGGCGTTGGGGGCTTGGACTGTGACCTTGAAGACGTTGGCACTGTGATTGGTATACCAGCGTAGTCTGAGGTGGAAGGATTGAATGGGGTGCTGAGGGTGCTGGATGCGCCTGGGTGCTCTGTGAGCTGCTGCAATAGTATTCCGAGTTCACGAGATAGACGGTCCAAAAGCCGTCCTTCCCAACCAGTGCCAGCAGGTATGGATGATGAGCTATCCAAACGTAACGATCTTGCGGAGCCCAATCCTGGAGAAGGGTTGCCGTCGAGTCTCTCTGTCGGAAGCGATTCGCCGAAGATGATGGAGAGCAGATCGTCGTCGATACCAATGAAATCACGAATGACTCTTCGAGTGATGCGCTGCCAGAAGGATTCGCGGTCCTCGATCACTGAGGAGCTCGCACTCAAAGGTCCGGTTGTCGCTTCATCCCCAGCATTTTTAGCAACTGAGTCCTTGATAGTCTGCTCCAGGCCAGCAGGACCGGGTGTCGTTTCTGCTCGCTGGCTTTTCACACTGGTTCTTCTCCGCCTGGTCTCCTTCTCAATCTCATCCAACAGAAGCCTGGATTGTTCCATCCTCCATTTCTCAATCCTCTCCCTTGTTTCGGCCTCAATGCTCGCAACATCATGCTCTTCGACAGCCTCTATTCTCCTTTGCACGCTAGATCTTCTTCTATGGCGCCCGAGCCCGATAGATCGTTTTCGCGGGTTGAAATGCTCAAAGTGCCATAGCTGCTCCTGAAGAGGTGGACTGGACGTAGGAAATGTGCCCAGTCCATCATGCCGTGGCAGTATGGAACCGCTTGGTTCGAAGAGTCCTGGTCTGTGTATGGGCGAAGGTTCCTGAAAATCGTGAAGGCCTTCGTCTAGGCTGTCCAAGTCCTCGTCGTCTTCGACGGAGCCATTTGTGGTCTCGCAAGGGACACGATCATCTTGTCTTGACTTGGCGTCCAAAGAGCCAAAGTCGCTTAGCCTCGACAATCCAGCTGTACGTGTCTGTGCCGTCGATGCAGTCTGAGTTAGGGTATTTGAACGTGCTGGGAAGAGGACCCATTCTTGCGACTGTTCAAGCTCTCGATGTAGCGGCGAGGAAATGGGGGATGCAGCATTGTCCCGTGAGTCCTGGGCGGCGTGTTGCCGTATCGCAGGGGCGAAGGTAGTTTGGTGGAATGCCATAGCGTCTCGAATTCTGTCTTTCGATGAGGAATCCTCCTTAATGCCTGCTTTCCCTCCGCGCAATCAAGCCCCAAGTGGGCCAGCGTGCAGGACTCGATCCAAATATGATTTGCTCTCCTGCCTTCCGACAGTGGTCAAAGAAGCTCAACCGAAGATGGCTGCCGATAGAAAAGTTTGGTCAATGCAGTCGCAAGGTGAGGCAGCAATGTTTTGGTGGAGATGACTCGTGTGACTCATGTGTATGACCTGGGAATTGTGACTAAGGAATGGATGACAGGTTGGTGCTTGGTAAGGCGGCCAAGGTGGGAGAGCACAGGGAAATGGTGTACCTAGGTCTTGCACTGATGACTGAATTAGACTAAGTATATATTGCCATCAATTAAAATGCCATGTCGTCGCCAGGCATAGAGTATGTTCGCTTGCTTGCTTGCTGCTTATCGCCAGTATTCACTAGAGTATTCATCGGAGCTCCAGCCACATGTTCGATTGATACTAGTACAGAACCTGGTCATTTGATAACGGTTAGCGGTTACCGGTTAGCGCCGTTGCAAGGAGCACCCTCGTGCGCTCAGACCCCTGGACGATCCAAAGATTTTATTTCCTCACCTACAGAGTTGAGCCTCACTGCATTCTGTCGATATTCTGGGTGACTGGATCCTTCGTTTCTCACAGCACGCTGAAGAACGTTCCGCCTGGAAAGGTGCTTGTGTCATCGGAAATCTCCAAAAAAATTGGAAGTCTTTGTTGTATTGAGTAAGCTGTTGCATGATATGATGGCACCCTAGTCGCGGGATAGTACCTACTCATCCTCAAAAAGCCTTAGGTTCTGGGGCAACACTTCGCATTTTCTGTGACTTTACACTCTCTTGACCGCCTCCCTCTTGTCTTGCTGTACAGAGCAAGGCTCCTGCATGCTGGATCTGCTTCTGGGTCCAGTGTCTTGCTTCCTTCACAAGCGACTTCTTGCGTCACTATCCACTTATTCATCACTCTACTGCTCCCGTGTCCCTTCTGAAATTGTTATACTGACCGCATATTACCCATCCGCCTATTGAGAGACCAGCTACCAGCCCGGCATGTTCTCCCCAACCTACGTCCAACTCAAGTACTGGTTCTATCCAATTGGGAACACACCTGCGGTCAATCTGCTTCGGGATCTTCCATCATGCCAGGAGGAGGAGACTATCAACATCCTGTCTTTAGCTTGTGGGGATCCGAGAAACGTCCTGTTTTCTTTGTGGTGCGAGCAAGGACACAGCAGCAAGCGGACCGTAAGCTTCACCTGCTGCGATATTGAACCGGCAATACTTGCACGAAACGTGGTCCTTCTCACGCTCATTACCAATGGACGCCCAAGTACAGAGCTATGGGACCTCTTTTACCATTTCTACGTGCCAACGAAAACTCTATCCATCCTTCGCACTCATGCTGCGGGCTTGGTAGAGGCCTCGAAATCTACTGAAAAATGGGCATCGTCTCCATACGGCAGCTACATTAAATACGTAGATAAGGCCACACTGCAGGAGTTGCGGCGGTATTGGACCCGCTATGCGTCGACCGAGAAATTTCCCCAAGCCAGGACTGCTATCGCCCAACGCAGCAAGGAGACTGGCAACATGCATGTTTTGACAGGCGTACGGTCGGCAGGTCCATTGTGGTTTCATGCAAGTGAGACAATGGCGCATGTTTACCGGGAGTTCTGGAAGACAGGTGTCGTAGCAGGGAACATTGAGGATCTCTCTCGACTGAACGGCAAAGGAGAAGTCAATCCGATGTTTGCTGTCTCTTCAGCTGCTTCGAGAGATTTCGCTGTTCACTACGGTGCCGAGCCACTTCTAGGGTTCCGCCTCCCAGAAGCTTTTCATCAAAAGGTTCCTGAACAAAGAGGGGGCACATCGGAACAGGCGAAGCGTGCGGTAGCAATTGCCAAGTCGCAGTTCAAGGCTTGGTGTGAGTGCTTTACCAAGTACGTGAGCAACGACCGTGTCCAGGTCAGCTTCTTCTGCGGAGAAGCTCTTGCTCTCAGCCACGACTTGCAACTAGCAATTACTCTCAACCAGAAGCCTGGCCACGTTACCAGGACCTACGTCAAGCCATGGAGCGCCTGTCCGCTATTGCTCGATGGGTATGTCAGTCTGAACGCAACGAGAGACTTGCCCTACGATCTGTTCGATGTCATCGATACCTCAAACCTTGGTGATCATGTCGGATTCATTAACATCCTTTCTGCCACGACTCCATTACTCCGGCGAAACGCCTCTTCAGTGGTCTACACCGAGAGCCTGTTGATGGCGTCAGAGGATATCTCAGCATCTTTGTCGACAGTTCTGGGTTCAGACGTTGCCACGTTCTCAATGCTTATAGGATTGGCCCCTTCAGGATTGTTGACAGGCGTGACACTCGATGCTGTCGGCAATGAGACTGCGTTATTTACCTTGATGCAAGGAGATGACAGCCAAAAGCAGTATCGTATGAGGGTCTCTTGGAAATACCCCCAATTTTCGGATGCCAGCGTCGTAGGAGTGCTTGGAAGTAGTACCGGGAGCGACTTCCAAGTCACATTCGAAGCGAAAGAGCTCGCCGGTCACCTTTTCGATATCTACAAGACAATGTTCGCTCACGAGGATATCTCGAGGATGACGGCCCAGCTCTCTCGCATGAGCGTTGGACAATATTCGATTGATTTGCAGCGCTATACAAGGGCTGGCATGGCTGCTCTGCTCCGCCTGGTCAGGGCCACAGTCCAGGTAGACTGGGAGCAAACTATGCACCTCCTCGATAGCCATCTCGTCACGGATCGGTCGTTGATAGTCGGATCCAATAGTCTCCAGGAGTTGTATATGCATCTTCACATTTTTGGTGTCTGGACAAACGAGTGTTTGGAACGTAGCCCAAATCAGCTTCGAACCGGCTTCGGGCTGTCTTTGAGACCAACATCTGGCGATAAAGGCATCCTCGCTGCAGACAATACACCCTCAGTTGTTCAATTAGTCCTGGTAGTGCCAAGGGAGGAGCTCACCGTCTTTACCGGCAAGACTCCTGACGCGATTGGAACTCCCGCTCTACATGTCTCTGTCACCCAGACCAGTGGTCAAAACCAATACGAAAATTGCTTCCACTCATTCCAGGCTTTCTTCGGCAAGGTTGTCTATGACGACAGCACCCAGAACGCTTCAATTATCGAAGAAGACGACCATGGCTGGCTGGGCTCAGCTGATCTTGTTGTTACTTGTGCGGTGCCCGCCTTTGGCTTGCTAATGGGGCCAAGAAATGGCATTCTGGCTGCTCTCATGATCAATACCAATCCTGATAACCTTATGAAGTTTGAACACCTTGGTGTGCGGATGGCGGTCTTCGAGACCGGATTTCACGATGGGAAGAGACTTTTTGTCTGTCGTGATGCACCCAAGCTGGACACCTTGCGATCGTCCTCAATGCAAAAAAGGTGGATCGAGAAGGTTTCATCGCAAAACCAATCTTCGCTTCAGACGCTCGTAAAGCTGAACGCCGGGCACAGAGCTACTCACCTGCAGAGCCATATCGATTTCCCAAAGGACTCCGCTGAGAGCCAAGCGCTGTCTACTGGGGCAGCGGTCACGGTCATCGAATATTCACCAAGGTCTGTGATGTTGCGAATTGGCTCGTCTCTGAAGCGACAAGTCACCTTTCCCTTCCCGATTCAAGGATCCCAGCCGAAGACAAGAATTGCAAGAAAGTCTTCCTGGATAGAGGTCGAGGTCCCAATCTTCACTGCATTGGATGGTGACCGCTTCAACTCGTGGACCCAGGCGACGGTGTTCCAGTCCGGTCGTCCACCACTGTGTTGGAGTATACCCCGGATAAATTTAGAGTTGCAGCCCTCAGTCACTTTTCCAAAGAAGGGAGACTCGTCGTGGCTTCGCACATTCATGGGGACCACTCTCAGTGACGCTGAGAGACCCTTGAGTAAGCCAGATCAAGCAACGACAACGAACGCCAAATTCGATTTAAAGCAGTCATTGAATATTCTCTTCTTGACATTTGTGGGCCTCAATGAGAACCGTGTTGGTCCAAAGAAGACCTTTCAACTCACTCTTGAAACAACCGGCGCTCATACCCTCATATTTGCTACCGGGATCCGTCATGACCTTGACTTGGGCTCCCTAGTAATGGAAGCTTACGTCGTGCCTTTAACGATCCCAAGAGTGAAAGAGCTTCTCCCGTCGCTCAAGGCATTGCAAACGACCGAACCCTGCGCTATCCGAGTCAGCAACGACGAATCGACCCTGTGGAAGAGAATGCTCCCAGCCTTAGCCGAGCGCTGCCGGACATGGCAGCATAAGTCGACATGTGAATATCAGAACAAGGGCGCTCCTCTGTCCACAGAGGAAGGCAAATCACCTCTGTGCAGCTGCGGCGAGGGAAATGTCTCTGGCTCCGAGCTCGCCAAGCTTGGTTTGAAGGAATGGGCGCCATTCGCTAAATACGCTGTTCGGGTTGCTATCGCTCCGATATTTCCGGTCCCATACGTGGAGTCGTCGTTGTCGGAACTCCTCGAACTGCCGCGAGCGACTCAATCACATCCTTCCCCTAGCTCACCGCCGAAGTTGCCGTCGCAGGCTCCAAAGTCGGCGGGGACAGAGGCCAAGTGCGATCATTGTGGGAAGTCTGGGGACAAACTTCAGGTGTGTGGAGGCTGCCGGAAGGTGAGATATTGCGGATCGGAGTGTCAGAAGGCGGCGAGGAAGGAGCATAAGAAGGATTGTGTGAGGTGATTGAAGATGTCAGCTTGACAGTGCAGTGGAAATCCATATCGTAGACTGACATGATAATCAAAAGCTATGTGACTAAGATCCATTTCTGAGATAAGGTACATTTGCACAGGCCATGGCTTAGCTTGTACCACTTATACGAGCCCTAAAAGTGGATGTCGATGATAGCGCCACCCTTCTCGCAGGCTGCACTTGATACAGGTTGGACGTCAGGCAGGATGTCGGAAAAAGTTTGCAATCTGGGGCGTTCCCTTTCTTGCACCGGCGTCCGCAAGTGGTACCACACTCAGCAATGTAGTCTCCAAATTTGGGCCATAATCAAACACCGAATCACTTCTTCTCCATTGGTGCCTGATCTCGCCGATATTGTTATGCGCCATGCCTCGCTTCGGCTGCCACCTTTCTGTTCCTTGCTTGCTCTTCCGAGGGTTTCTCTCCTAGTAGAGCTTCGTTCTTGTCCGTGTCTTGCTCGCGTCAAGGATTTTCCGTTGGAGCTCCGTATCTTTGAGTGCGCGCTTTGGTTTGGATTCAACACCTCATGCAGCTCGACAGTACGCCTTGTGTCTATCCGCCTCTTCGAGTGCAGTTCTTCGGCCGTCTATGCGACCTAATCTGTCGCTCCTATGAATTGGTGCGCGAGCGACACATGTCGAAGTCCTTGCCCGTCGCACACTCTCATGTCTCTCATAGCTCATCCTGACCATGCTGCTCCCTCCTAACGTGTCCCTTTCCCTGTCCCCGTTCCAACTCCCTCCTTCACCATCACAACAGATCAAAGTCATCCAACTTCTCCCGATACTTCAGGATATTCCGCTTCACCTTACTGCTGTCCACCCACGTCACGAAATCCTCCATGTTCCTCGTCACCAGGAACGCCGGGTCCGTCACCACCTCCGTCCCGACCCTCACGTGTCCCTGTTCCACGAACCTGACGGCCGCGGTGACGTTCTCCGCCATCCGCAGCCGCGTCATCACGACGCCGAGCCTCCTCCTCGCGAGCCTCGAGACTCCGACTTTCCGCTCGACTTCGCTGGGTTTGGTGGTGCCGGAGAGGATGCCCATGTCGTAGAGTTTTTCCAGCATGGTTTTCTCGGTCTTGACGCGGACGGGGTCGGAAGGGTCGAGGTTGCTGAGGGAGTGGGCTAGTTGGCGGAGGGAGCCGCAGATTCCTGAGGGTTGGTTAGATTGGTCTGGTATTCTGGGAGCCGAGAGGGGATCAGGGCTGGGTGGGATATTCGTACGGTTGTACTTTGTGTAGTCATTGGGATTTTGGATCGTATATCTCCGACAGATGGCGGCGGCGTGATGGTTTGCATCGCTTTTGTAGGTGGTAAAGTCGACTTTTTTGAGTAGCTTTGATTCGTGGTACTTAAGACGGCGGACTGCGTGGATTAGCTATGATTTGTTTTACAGTGTGCGGAAGCCCTACCCATCTTGAAGAGTTGAAGAAGTGGTTCTTGGTACACTCGGGCTCTTTATAAAATTTTCTGAGCTTTATGCAAGGTGTTAAAAAGTATTCCTGGGTAGAGTAGAAAGACCTTATGAGTCCCCGAGTAAAGAGTATCGTAGCCACAATTTGAGAATTTTGAAAGGGTGTGCGTAGAGAAACTTTTATGTATCTGTACCTCGGTGTGCGCGAAATAAACTGCAGAGGGGGCTAATTTTCCCCGCGCCAAATTTCTACCAAATCTACTCCCAATTGTATTCCACATATTCCACACAGTCATAATATCATAATTATGGGTACACGCAAGGGTTAAGATCCTCCTAGAAAGTATGCCTAAGAGACTTCTAGACGTAATACGTCTTGAAGGAGGGATGACAGGTCATTAATAGTGTAGTTATCATAGAAAATGTACTTGATTCTCTGGCGCAAAATTTAGCCACTCTGCAGTTTATTTCGCGCACACCGAGTGTACTTTATGCATACCTTTTCTTTAGCGCGCTAGTCGCGCGGGTATATTGTGCACAAGTGAGCATGTCTTCGAATTCGAGACTGCTTTCCCAGACTGCCCTGGCACCGAACAACAGCGACAATGAACACCCGCTATCTCGCAAGAACCGTGACCCGACTCGAATCCCCCAGATGCCTCCATCGCCCCTTCTCCACCTCACCCTCCACCTCCGACGACCCTCTCCCTCCCCGCCCCCAACGTCCCTCCCCCCCGCCCCTCCCCTCCAACATCGCCCGCAACGCCTCTCGCAACCCGAACCGCGACGACGGCATCGCCCTCGCCAAGAACATGATGCAGGAGATCGACCGCACGCGATACGACGCCGTCCGGGGCTACGACGCCCAACGCGCCACCCTCAACGACGTCACCAAGCTCCAGCGCGCAAAGGATCTGGAACGGCAGATGCCGAGGCTGTCGAAGTGGCAGGTCGGCGACGTGTACGCGCCGCACGATTTGAGTGCCGTGGAGGCGGGGAAGTGGAGGAAGAGGAAGAGTAGTGAGAGGGATGTTTTTGATATTTTGGGCATCAATCCCTTGGAGGAATACAAGGTATGCGGAATCTACGGAGTTGTCCCATGGGGGTAATGGGGGAAAGGGGGTTTCCTTGATGCTAATGCCCGGGTGACGGACAAGAATTTCTCAATGATGTCCGAATTCATGACGCCCATGGGCCGGATCAAACACCGACGCGAGACCGGCTTACGCGCCGTGAACCAAAGGAAAATCGCAAAGGCGATCAGGAGAGCTGTGGGTATGGGGTTGCTACCGAGCGTGCATGAGCATCCGGAGGTGTTGGAGGTGAAGGCGAGGGATAGGGCGATGAGGCTGGAGTACGGAGCCGGTTCCAGGCGGTGACGGGCGGTCCTGGTGATTTCGGACGCATGGGCTATTGCGCCTCCAGAATGCTTCGGTCGAGACTACGAACATGGTGGAGTGCAGAATCTCCTGCGAAGCCAACGTTTACAACGACCATTTGCGCCTACGTCGCAAATGCGTTTTGATGAATCCATGAGCGTTCCATGCTCTTAAGGAGGTCTTGCATCTTACTCTGCAAGAGAGGGATTTGAGCATCCGAACGCGAGTGTACATATATCACGAGACAAAATCATCGCATATATCCACATATGTTATGTCCAGCCTTAGCATACAGTCTGGGCTTCTAGCTATCTGGAAACATTGATACCGAAATTTCCATCAGCCAGGAGGACCTTTATTGCACCTGTACTTTTCCTTTTTCCTTTGTTTTGGCTCTCGTCCTGGTATACCAATGCCTCTGCTGCGGGTGACCGCTCGCTCTCTTAGCACGCTTCGAATGCTGTCGCTAAGAGGAAAACAAAAGAAAATCGTAAATCATAGAGACAGACATAATTAGGCATCAAAGCGAACGCTCAGACCATTGTCCTGAAGGGACCGTTCAACCAAGACATTACTACCCTGTTCGAATGGTCCCGTTCGTTGCTGCGAATTCGTGGTACCTGACCCGCTGATACCATCGCTGGGGTGGACAATGACGCTGCCAGCGATGTTCACCTTTCTTAGCCTTGAGCTGATGGGCAAAGAGTATTTCATGACGCCACGAACAATTAATTCAAAGTCGTACTGAAGGACGTGTTCCCAACGCTCGCTACCGCCCTCTTCGGTCCTGTTGCCAGGCTTGGCAAGGCGGACTTCACCTACGCTACCAAGTGAGTAGTGGCGAATAGGTGATGCCTCGAAGATAAGAGGGGAATCGAACTCGAATATTTGACCAAGAAGCATGGTTTGTGAGTCGGTGGTAGGGTCGTCAATAGGATCTGTGCCTTCGTCGACACCGCCGTCAAAATGGGAGATGATGTCTGAGGGGTCAAGCAGCGGGGGAGCTTGTTGGGAAGCAGCTTCGTTTTTTTGCGACTTGGATCGGAGTTTTCGAGTTGATGTTTGTGGATGACCGGATCGCCATAAAGAGCTTGTACCGACGTGTTTGCTTTTCGCAAAGATGTTGACATCGAGCTCGCCGACTTGGATAGCGAGAATGTTGGGGTTCATGGCGTGCACGTGAAGGTCGAGCATTATCTCTTGCTCCGATGCAAGAACGTTACGAATGTCTTTCACATGAACATCGATCAATGGCTTGGAGCACATGACGAGAATGATCACAATTGCGGCTATCAAAACTGCCAAAACGCTGCCTAGACCCGTAAAGGCTGTGACACGACCACAGCAACGGTGGTCTCTGTTTTCTGAATAGATGTGTCGTACACTCCCAGGCAACGGCCGTCGACGATTACGCCCACTACGGACGGAGCCTATCAACGGTGTTCGCTCATCGTCGGCACCTTCGCCTTCAAAATCGTACGACATGAGTTCTTCAATCTTGCGTGGGCTTTTGGTGACATGGACAGCTTGAGGATTCCGTGAGCTGCGGGGAGAGACGTGACCGGTTGCAGAACGTGTAGACTTGGTAGCATTTGGGAACGGAGAGTCGCTGTCAAATAGAGATGCATGGCCACCACGTCCATATCGCCCAATGTGGTGGTGATGAGTTGTATTTCCGCTGGCCGGTCGCCCAGTCTGACTTGGACCTCTCACAGTCCCATCACCGCCTTCATTTGAGTACCCAATAGAATTGTAATTGTTAGAAAACTTCATGCTCTTCTTACCAACAACACTATGATGTCCCTCGTGTCTCCCTTTAGCACCGTAATGGTCATGGTGACTAGCGGTGGACGTCGCACTTGGGGTACGGGAGTGGAAACGATTTGCGCGGGCCGAATGTGGCTCTGGTGGATTGGATTCGTAGACGAAAGTTTCTTCAGAGTCTGATGAATCTGCTTCATCAACGGCACTTGCGACTTTTGCTTCGAAGATGTCTGCTTTTGAGGAGGCTATTCTCCCTCCGAAAGGTATCAGCACGGTACTTGTACGCCTGGGGATTCCATGGGGTTTTGGGGATTTGCAGTGAGCATTTTGGGTATGCTTGTCCTCGCGATTGGTAGATCGCAAGTCGGACATAAATTGCCTTGGCACTTGATTGTTGGGGAAGTCAAGGGACCTTACGAGCATTGAGCTCATAGATTCAGGAGAGGGGAGTCGCGAATGGACATGATGGTAATGATAACGATGAAAACCTTTGAACATTAACCCACCTGTGCCAGAATTCATAGAGGGCGCCTTTCGCACCACCCTCTTTTTCTCCTTTTTGGGCCGTATCGTCTCATTACTAGGCTTCAAGCGCAAACTTCCTCCCGTCTCCGTCCTACCAAGGGGATTTCGTTCACCAGCACCACCTCCCAAAGCGAGCTGTGGTATCGAGCTGACGGTTTCGGTCTCCACGGTCATGTTCTTGACAGACCCATCACTAGCGGGGATCTTACTCTTCGTGAACGGCAATTGCGTGAACGACTTCTTTGACTGCACCACCGGCGGCTTGGCAGAGTTGGCAGCGGTTGCTGGTTTCCGTGTATCTTTGTTGCCATCAGCGCCCTTGGCTCCAGCACGCTTACTGCCTGCACTGTCATTTCCACTTTCGGGCCTTGAGTCTGCTTCCTTTCCGAACGCCTCTTCCATTGGGTTTTCCTCAATCCGCTCTGGGTGATCGTTTGAGCCTCCCTTGCTTGTGTGGGTCATTCTCGTGCCGATGGCCGGTGTAGCTGGAAGGCTACTCTCTTGTACGGTCTCGAGTGCTGGGCCATTCCCACTTATAACTCGAACTGGTGTCCGCATTCCCGACTTTACTGGGTGATCATCCTCCGGTATATCTGATTCGCTGCCAAAAGTAGAGCTTCGAGCAGGACGTTCGACGACAATAGTAGGCGTTGTAGGTGTGGACTGCGATTGATCGACCTTGCGAGACGTTAAGTAAGAGCTGTTTGTTCCAGATGACGCAGATGGTGGAGGAGACTTGACACGGAGCACGCTGGATCCGGAGTGCTGAGAGCCGCCAGCCGGTCCTTTGTTGGCCCTCTGAGGCCGTGGCGTATCAACAGCAAAGTCCGCTGCAGTGGAGGGTGGTAAATGTGGGGTACCTGTCGCGGATAAAGCTCTTTGAATGGCAGCTGCAGATGGCACCGTGGGTATATTTGCGCTCGGTCCTCGTATCGGACTCAGATCCTGACTGTTTTTCCTCGACCTATTCGTCAATCGGCTTCCCGTTGATGCGCCGGGCTTCAGAGGAGGTCGTACGGGCGAACCTTCACGTGAAGGTTTGGGAGACGTTGTGGCAGATGAGTTGGCGGAGAGCTGAGGAGTCGTCGAAGCCCGTATGAGGCTCGGCGCGGACGATGAAGGTTGTTGTGAATCTTGCGTGCCTTCTTTGCTTGGATCAGACTTGTTTTCATCATTGCCCTTCTCCTCAACTTCCGCTTGGTCATTATTAGGCTTTTCTGCAGTGGGCGCCATGAATTGGGTTCAATCACAGGCACACACGTCAGTATTCTGTTCCTGGCGGGTCGGCATCCGGGTTCTCTTGAGAAATTGTACTGGACAAATAGGGAAGTGAGAGGGATTCGCGCTGACAGAGCGATGAACGTATTAACATTGTGTATACAAGAGATACAAGAGAGACAAGAGAGATAAAAGAGACATGATATGTGGCTCAGTTATTTGGAGTACTTTAGTTCGAGGCATGATGAAATAATGCGTGGCGCATTGTCGTTCGCTGTCTCGCTGTCAGGGCCTTGGTCCGCTTTCACGCCAAGCATTAGTGTCAGAATTGGACCAATCAGAGGACGCTTAGTAATCATACGTTTCTTAGTGAGGGCTCCATCGGCTCGGTGATTGCCCATTTCTCAGTAGCACAGGTATGTAACTCTTTGCTACTCGACACCACGACGCCAAAAATTAGTCCCATACGTCCACTAACTTGATACGTACGACTTGACACCTTACTCATCCTTCTTGCGAAGTAGATGTCTTGAGAAGACTGCTCATTAGATTAGCTCAGCTTAAATCTTCTGGGAACACTCGTCATTTGTTTTCATCTTGCAGACAAGCCAAAGACTCAAAACAAAATTCGACGTCGAGGCCCGTAGGTTGCCTTTCTTGACGTCCCAATTTCACACGGTCCTCTGTCCCTTATAGGGTCTTTGACACTCAAGACGATGTGTCGAGCGTAAATTTCAACACAAGCACATGCTAAGTAGCCCACTTCTTCTTTTGCTACTTGTACGTTTCTTCTCTGCACTTCCTTTACCATCCAAGCCACACCATTATCCCATCTCATTATGCCTCTAAGAAAGCTAGCCATGAAGAGACGTGTATATCGTGGCCCAGAGACAGAGCGAAAGTTAGCTTTCATGCTTGCCCATCAATTGCATATTCAGGATACACAGCGACAACGACCTTTCCCTGAGACACCTTTGGGTAGACTTCCTGGAGAGATTCGTGAACTGATCTACGAACACGTCCTAGTGGCTCCACCATCACAGTCGACGAAATATCTTCGCGTTCCTCTCATCGCAGCCACGAACTCGGATATGACTTTGGCTAACGGGGCTCCCATAACCACGAACTCCAAGGCCACCTCAGCAGAATCTCCACAACTTGCTTTAGTAAAACACCCCGGGTCTGCTAGGGTTTCGTACCTTGCTATTCTACAAACCTGTCGTCAAATAAACCGCGAAGCCTATCATATCTTCTACGCCAAAAACTCCTTCCACTTTACAAACGCACCAGATCTGCTTGCTTTTCTCTTCGGCATTGGACCAGTGCGGCGAGCAGAACTCACGTCTCTCCATATTGAGGGTCTGGTGGTAGACCAACCTTTCTTGTACATGTCTTTCCTCGACCGCTATTGCATTCACCATAACATCTGCACGGCTGAGCGAGGGAGACTTGAAGCTTGCCGGTGGCCAGGTCTACACCCAGACGTCTACAAAGCCTCAATAGCACTGGAAGGCTGCAAGAACCTTTCCAAACTGATTCTTGAGCTGCCCGCAGAGGAGAGATTCAAATACATCCTGTTTCTGATATACGATCTCGGATTGAGCAGACCTGTAGCTTATGTGGTTGACGAATCTCATTGGGTTATTAAGGCGCGTCGCGATGGGAATATTCCGCCTCGCCAACCTTTGGAGGACATTAAAAAGTGGACAAATTATAAAGCATGCCATCCGAACTGTGTGACAGGAAAGAAGCTCAGGGTCGAGGTAGAGATCATCAGGGATTCGGAACAAGAGTTGACGAAAGGATTCGAGGTAGCAATAGGCTGAATCGCCCCGGCCGGGCAAATGCCAGAGGTGTAGAGATAGAACGGGAGAGGACCACTTGATCATTAGATACATTTTGAGCAAGTGTAGTGTTCCCATTCGCTCAAGAAAAGTCCAATTCTCTTATGGATGTGCAGGTTTACATCGTTAGATGCTAGACTTGATGCCTAAGTGCCTTACCGGCACCCGAACGCCCGCTCCTATCATCCACCATCTAGTGCGATGTTTTGGCCCTCGACTAACACAGAAACCTTCTACTCCCCGATCTTGTTAGCCTTCCCTCAATCCTACCTCTTCCCACTGATACCAGTATGGAGTAGACATATATACTTCATCCCACAAATTGCTGTGAAGATTCACATTAGTTAGATCTGAAGCGATCTTAAATTAAGGTACCTCTAAACTCACACCTACAGTACGAGTACAGTACCTACATCATCTGCGGGGCACCAGCCCTGTTATCCGTCGAGCTAGCGATAAGCTAACTCAAGGCAACGAGGCAACCTTCCCAGCCTCACCTTTCCCACCTCAACGCTGACCTTCTTTTCCCATCATCAATAATCCCATCAACCCATCAACCCATCAGTCATACAGGATAACAGCACAACAGCCAATATGTCTCGCTACGGTGGTGGCGACACCACGAGGGTTGTCTATCGAGATGCTCGTGACGTCGAAGGCGGATCGACTGTGTCACGTTCAGCAGCAGCACCCCGCAGTAACAACGAAAGCTACACCACTCGCAAGGTCTATCGCGTGTCCAACCAAGATGAAGAGGAAGAACGTATCCCGGCCTTTCTGGCCCCTCGCGAGCGCACCTACGGAGAGACTCGTGTCGTCCGCCGAGAGAGAACTCCGGAGCCCGAGCCTATCGTTGAGCGTCGAGAGATTCGAATCAGAGAGAGAACTCCTGAACCTGAACCTGAACCTGTTGTTGAGCGTCGGGAGATCCGGATCGAACGAGAACGCGAACCTCAGCCTGAACCTCGACGCTACGAAACAGAATATCGATATGATCGAGAAATTGACCGAGTAGCACCTCGTCGCGACGATCTTGAAAGATACGTCAGGACTGTAGACTACTACCCACGTCAAGAGGCCCCCCAGCCTATCATCATTCGCCAAGAGCCGCAACAGATCATCATCCAAGAAGCACCGCGACCACCCGTTGTAGTGTCACCACCACCGCTACCAACAACCCAGGAAGAAAGCTATGATATCATCAAGCGCTCTGAGGTTCGCTCAGAGGTCGGACACCGCTCCGAAAGCCATCGCTCTGAAGTCGGAGAAGAGCGCCAGATTGCTCGACGGCCGAAGCCGCCGAAGCCAGAACCCGAAGAGGAAGAGGAAGATTACTATTATGAGCGCAGAACACGTCGAATCGATGGCCGCGATCGTGATGATGAAGAGTACGAATCGAGTCATCGTCGTCGTGACAGAGAAAGAGACGTCAGCCCTGGCGATTCGATCTCTCAGTATGGCCGTGATCGTCGAGGTGGCTACGACAGTGATTCTAGCTATGAGTACATTAAGAGAGAGACACGTGAGGAGTTCAGCGATGAAGAGCCTCGTCACCGACGGCATCTTGCTGAGGGTGCTGCAGTTGGTCTTGGAGCTGCTGAGCTACTGCGCCATCACCGTAAGAAGAAAGGGGAAGATGAAGGCGGCCGCGGTAGTCGTGTAGGCAGAGACGTTGGAGCCGCAGCCTTGGGTGCCATCGGTGCGGAGGCTGTGACACGAGCCCGAAGCCACTATCGAAGCAAGAGCCGCCGTGGATCTCGAGATCGCGGATCTCGGGACCGTGACCGTGACGGCGACCGTGAAGGACGGCGTAAGCACAAGCGCGATAAGTCTCGTGGCAAAGAACGAAGCCGGAGTGAATCAAACCATCGCGTCAGGAATCTCGCAGGTTTGGGTCTTGGAGCCGCTGCTGTTGCTGCTGCCGTTGGCTACGCAAACAGGAACGCAAAGAAGAGCGAAGGCCAAGATCGGCGTAGCCGCTCAAGGACTCGAAGGGATTCTGTCGGCGCTCTCCCTGCACCCGAGGAAGCGGATGATGCTCGAAATGCTTCTCACAGGAACAAGAAGATCGCCCAAGCTGGTCTGGCCGGCGCCGCCGTGGCTGGGCTTGTAGAAAGAGCTAGAAGCAAGTCTCGCGGGGGTGGGAAGAGGGATCGTTCCAAGAGTAGAATTCGCCAAGGTCTTCCAATTGCTGCTACTGCTCTAGGTTCCGCTGCTGTCGCAGGCTTGTATGAGAAACAGCAAGCTGGCAAAAAAGAGAAAGAAGCCCGACGTGAAGAACGTGCAGCCCGGAGGTCAGCAAGATCGAGATCCAGGTCACACGGTTATGACGCTTCGCGTGAAGCTCCGGTCGGAGATCCCGGCCTCATCGAGTATGGACAAGAACCGGTCTACAATCAAAATGGAGTGCCGGACTTCTACAATCGACCAGCAAGTCAGACAGGTTACTACAACAACACTGAAGACGCTATGGTTCCTGCTGCAACTGCAGGTGCAGCATATGGAGCTCAAGCTCAAAGAGACATGGACAGGGGCCAGAGGCAACGAAGCATTTCTTCTGGATCAGATGATGGTCGTCGAAGAAGAAGACACCGACGTCATAAGAGTGGGAGCCGTACTCCGAGCCGTAGCAGAGATGCAACCACAGCAGCTCTTGCGGCAGGAGCAGCAGGTTTGGCTGCTTCTGAACATGAGAAGAGAAAACAACGCAAGAGGGAAAAGAAGGAAGAACGTAGACGTGAGTATGGACTGGCCGCTTCAATAGCTAAATTGCTAACCATATTTCAGGTCAAGAAGCAGCTGAAAGGGCGTCGTATAGCCAAGATCCGTACGGCCAGCAATATCAGCCCAATAGTCCACCACCTGCTGGGTATCAAAATGAAGGACAACAGACTCCTTATTATCCTCCTCCACCCGGCCAAGAGTATCCTGGTGCTACCCCTGCCCCTGTTGGCCAGATTCAGCATGAATACAATTACCCACAACAACCAGGCTACACACCTCCAGTGCCCAACACCTATTCTCCAACTCCCGGAGCGGCTGGATATGCTCCGCAACCTAGGGAGCCCAGGAGGGCTGATGAGAATGTGAGTGCTGAAATGTTTCACAACACTGCCAACAACGATGTCCCTTTAAACCCCAACAACGATGCCCTTTCTTTACTCAGCAACGATGCCCCTTTCTATGATTCCAATGGTGCACCTTTTTACTATGAACCCAACAATTTCTCAGGGGAGGGTGGGTGACCATCATTATGCGCCTTACATACCAATCATCTACAACATTTCGCTGACAAAAAACTCTACAGGTGTAAATACGCCCCGCGCCCAGTCCCCGTCCCGCCCTAGTCTTCAACGCAGGGCATCTTCACAACCACCACCCACCACCAAAACTGTCCAATTCGCTCTTGACACTCCTCCTTCATCCCGTCCCAGTTCCCCAAAGCAAATCCGCCAGCGTCGTCAGCATGCCAGCTCCTCTAAGCACTCTCAACACGATGATTATGATAGCGAAGATGGCTCTTCTTCTCGCAAAGATAAATCTCGTGCCCGTCGTCGTCGTCACCGTCGCTCGTCTAGCGATGATCCGTCCAGATCTTCTTCTCCAGCTGAGTCGGACTCAACAGTCGAATTACCGGAGCGATTTGACGAGCGTGGTCGGCCTTTAGCTCAGCAAGACGATGATCCAGTGGCTCATATCGAGGAACTATTTGGCGGCAGGGGCTCCGTTGGCAGGTTATTACAGAATTTTGGATTAGGCGGCGGAAGTGATGATGGAGATAGGAACAGGGACAGGGATAGGCGGGGGCGGCGGAGACGATGATTTTCTATGAATGACGATCGAGCACGATCCTTTTCTTGTCTTTTCCTTTCCTTTCTTTTTTTCCGACGAGACGATATTGGAACAGGATTGGAGGTGACGATGGTTACGAACATGCATGCTTTTCTTAGACCAATCTATCGAAGCAAATGAAAACACTGAATCGCAACGACATGCAAATATCACCATCAAAAACCAAGTCATTCCTCCGCTCGCGATCTATAAGTCTACAACCGTCCAAACATCCATTCAGAGCAGCGATGATACGGACCTCCGAACTCAACCTGCCGGAAACCTCGCCTCCTTTCAGGCATCAGCAGTCTACTCACATTCGAGAGTACCAACCCAACGACAATCTCAAACTCCATGAATAACCACAACAGGAATAATCATAACCCGCCATTCCACACTACAATCCATCCTTGAACAAATAAAATAATCCGGTCTTCTACACATCCACCCCACCAACCTCATAATGATCCTCTCCCGCCTGTACTAGTATAGTACAGCACCCCAGCAAACACCGTCACCATCAACCATCTCCTTTCCCTACCCTTCCCCTTCCCCTCCCCCTCCCCCTTCCGCAACGATACCAATCAATCAACCCCCCTTGCCCCCCCCCCCCTCAGCGCCCCCATCATACCGCCGACCCCTGCCCATATATCCCAACCCAGTCATCCCCTCCCCCTCTCCCAGCAGAAACCCCGCCTCCAAATTCCCACCATCATCCGTCCCGATACAACTGCACTACAATCCGGCATCGATGAGCCCGGCCGGCGAATCGATAGCGAACCGGATACGTCCGTAAGTCGTACGGCACCGCAGCCGTTTGGGAGTACGATTCGAAAAGTGCGGGTGAAGTGGTCGCGGTTCGGGGGTCAGGAATCGCGATCCCTCGTGCTTGGATGCTGTTCGTGTTGATTGGTTGATTGATTGATTGATTGATGCATACTTGTCACTCACTGATGGGATCGATGTCGGCACCTTGTCGCGCACTGGTTGAGTCTTACATACTTGCAGGCGAGGTTGGATATCGTGGGCAGGTATCAGACGCTGTACGTTGAGATGGTGCGGGTGCGGCCGCTGTTGGAAGTTGAGTTGGTGAAGAGGGTGGTGGGTGGTGTTGGACCGAGTGTTTGTTGTTGGGATACGGGGTGGGAGGGGATTGGGATGTCAAGCAAAGGGGGTGATGGGAGCGTTGAAGTAGGAGAAGAATGTGGGAGAAGGGGACGTCGGATGAACAGTGGGAGGGTGTCATGTCAGGGTATAGTAATTCTTTGTACAAAGCATGTTGGGACTGCTATTATTGCAGCTGCAGCAACTCCTCATTGAGGACACCGAAGAGCTTCTCGATCTCCTTGCCCACGTCGGTGATTTCTTTTGAGAGTTGGCCGGTGACCAGTGCTAGAGTGGTGTCAGCACAGGGACACGCCCTTATTTCTGGATGCTACAATTGTCTTACCGTAAGCATATAGGAGCTCGAAATCTTGGTCTGTCACGCCAGCCGCATCTTTCTCCTCTTTGCGAAAGCGGAAGATCTTGGCAAGCAATCTGTCTCGCGCATTATCTGTGTTAGGCAGAGCCTCGTTCAAGGGATACTCAAGCTTCATTGACGATGCGAGCACTGCAGATGTATTAGCAGGCGTTTTAGTGATAACAGAGGCTTTTGGTTACCTTGAAGCAGATGGCTTATCCTCGTGCTTAAATATGTTCTTTCCCGGGCCGTATCCTCTAAAATCTGGGCTTCCGCTCCGGTCGCTTTGGGATTCTTCATGATCATGACATTCATCGCATGGAACGCATCTAGCATAGCACCAGTGCTCTTCAGGATCCGGGAATAGGCGGCATCAGGGAATGGTCCTCGAAGGTCAACTTCGGAAGCAGCCGAGCTTTTTAAGTTCTCGAGCCGCGACAGAAAGCGATGGAGCTCGAACTCCTCTCGAAGGTCCATGTAGGCATTCGGACTCTCTCCCTCCGTGAGCATCGCGAGCGGGTCGCGTTTCCAAACCAGACCCATGCGGAGCCATAAGATGCTGAGACCGTCTTTGAACTTCTCCCGGGCGCTAATGGGCCAGACAAGGCGCGTCACAATCAATCCCCAAAGACATCTGTACATAGGCGTTAGGAAACTTCAGATTCGGTCACATCGGAAGAATTACCCTGAAAGTACAGCGACGACCCGGTGAAGCGCAATCTCCGTGATAATAGGCCTGGCACCTCCTTCATCATCATCGCCGTCAACCTCCTGCGCTGACAAAGAGTAAGCGTAGAGAGCTGAAAGATTGTATGTCAGCATGATAAAGCGGCCCATAGGTCCTTTGCCTTGAGCAACAATGATATAGGCTGTCCAAAGTGCCATGAGCCAGCCGAAAAACGCCAGCAGGAATGCGTTTCCGCTTGAAGCGATCCAGGATATGATGGCGCAAACGGCTCCGATGCATGTGCCGAAGAATCGAGCGAAACCTGTTGTATTGGAAGCACCGATCGTCATTGCACACACCAGCATGTACGAAAGAAGCCCCCATTCACCACGCCAGTGCTGGTAGAATGGTCTACTTGCAGCTAGGAATGATGGCAGAGCATAAAGGGCCGCTCCAATGCCGACTTTGATGGCGAATTTGACATCGTCTCGTCGAAAAACACTCAGTGCCCTCCACAACCGGTAGCTACATTTTGGACCTTCCCGAGCAGACTGCACTTCAATAGCAGCTATTCTCTGGGCTGGATTGGGAAAGTCCCCAGGTATCTCACTCTCTTCGTTTTGCGCTATGAGGCTGTCTCGTTCTGTTGTGAGTTTTATCAGTCAGCTGAGAGCAATAGAAATTGGTGACTTAGGGCGTGAATGGAAAGAAGATGGATTGTATAGGGGTAGACTCAACGGAAGGTAATTTTGTAAAGGGAGGGAAGAGGAGGAGAAGAAAAAATGGCATGAAGCGGAGGGAAGACAATCGAGCAAAGTACAGATGAATAAGTAAATTGAAGCGGCAAACATGGAGTGGTGAGGGTAGAGAGTGATAACCCACGAAAATTCTACATACCAGGGTCGTCATGATGTCGCTTTGGCTTAATGTCGCCAATCTTGCGCCATACTTTGAGCCAGTTCCATGTCTTCCCATCCGGTCTCTCGTCTATCTCCAGCTTCAAGTCGTCCAAAATTTCTAGATATGCCCTCATCTCATTTGCGAAATCTAGAAGAGAAAAACTGAAATAGCCGCAACTCGCAGCGACCTCCTCGAAGTCCGCTTCCATCTCGACTGGACGTGGCTGGGTGAGCTCCTTCGTCTTGTAAAGCTGACCCAAGGCTTCCTCCCGCGAATCCGTATACAACTCGATTGCATTATCTAAGCTCGTCCTAAAATGAGCGTTGACAGCGATGCTACCATTGGGGGCATATGGAAGTTCATCCAGGAGTTTTCTCAATGTTACAGCAAGTGATTTCTGGAAATTCCAATCAGTAATGATTGTCCACCATCAGGGAATGACGCGCTTACAAGTGAAGGACCTAATTGGATGATGAACCGTGCAAAGATGTCGGATGGAGACGTAACGCTATGTACGCTTCCATCCTCTTGAAAGGCGTTAGGGGATAGACATTCTTCAGAGGATGCGTCTTCGGGTGTCTCATCAATCGCAGCCAGCACGCCGTGATCCTCCGAGGGAGACGTTTGGCCGCTCGAACTAGAGGTGAAATACCCAAACTTCGGTGTAGGCGCATAAATTGTACTCGCGGGGGTTACTGATCCTGACACACTAGGCTGTGCCATAAGAAGGAATTGTGTGGTCGCCGCACTGCGCAAACCACCAATGTTCTGTGCCAATCTCTGTATGCAGTTGACCAGCCTCGCCTCCAGCTGATACTCCTTCTCAGTGCCAAGAACGTAGTGTTCATATTTGGCTTCCTTTAGATTCTTGGTCAGTGAAGTAAACACTTTCTTGTATTTGTCCGAGGCATCTCGGAAGCTCTCCTGTTGAAGTTCTTCTTCTGACCCAGTAAGAAAACCTCGGGTGATCATGGCAAGCAAGTCTCCAAAGGAGTCCGTCACTTGAATAAGATCTCCTCTCAGTTCCTCCCTTGCAGATACCGGCCAGATGATGAAGGATACAGCTGTTGTGGCAAAGACTCCCATTAGTATCATTATCATCACTTGTATCACTTTCTCGCCCGAGAATTCGGCAGCTTGGACCGCGCCTTCCTTGGTCAGAACGGTGATTATGGCAAGAGATGTCAGAGAGCATGAGATGTTGACTAGAGGGTGCCCAAGTCGCTGTTTGATCCATCCAACAAAACCCAGCCCACCACCACAGAACACAATTAGGACAACGATATGGCCGAGAACAAGCATATCCAGCGTTCTCTCAAACAGTATCGAAACACCCATGCTGGAGAAAGAGATGAAAACGGCATAGACAAAAGCTAGTACTGCGCATATCATAGCTTCAATCATGCTACCCTTGGACCTGGCAGGGTGGAAGTAGACCGTGATCGTGGCGACCATATGCTTTCCATCTTGCTTTCCCAGGATCCCAGCGATGAAAGGCACGAAAGTTGCCATACTCCCTATCAGGTACGCAACACTGCACTTAAAGACGCCGCGGCCGGTCTTTGAATTTGCAAATCCCCATGCCTGCTTCATTCTATATGTTGTAGCGTTCGATAACCTTGAGAACATTCCCGATTGTAGATCATGATGCTTTCGCCTCTGGGGTACCTGACACTGCCCGTCTGCTGATCCATTGACGTCGGCACCTCCAAGACGTGGTGCTGGTCCGAAGGTTACATTTCTCTTGACACGTCGACCGGTCTTAGGGAGGATAAGGGTAGCTTGACGCAGTTGTCGCTATCAAGGTGTCAGCAGACCTTGTGTTTAGCGCAACCGAATAACTTACCTTTGGTCGAAACGACTGACGATGTATCGGAGAAACATTTCCTCCATTCATGTTAGAGGTCATCTTGGTCTCTGCATGTTGGGGGACCGCCAACAGACCCCGCAACGGATCATTGGGGTCCTAGAGATATGTTCTTCATCAGCGACAACAGACTTGATTTAGGTTATGTGGATTGTTCTTCCCGAGAAGTTCCTAATTGCTGCGTGGCCGCGTCTGTCTCGCTTGCAGCGCTAATCAAGCCCAAACGAGGCTAGCGGAACCAGGCAAAGCAAGTGGAGAACTGCTTCCAAAGACCGCCAGTCCGAGCATTTAGAACGTCCAGTATGGCTTCCCAGATCTTGCCTCGCTTTTCAAGATGTGTCACACATCCTTCACGACTGCCCAAGCGATCCCAACGTCGGTTCTTAACCACCACACCGCGAGTGGCAAGCGAAGCTCTCCAAGTTGTCAGTGCTTCTTCCGTCCATTGCGCGCTGTATAGCTCTGCTCAGATGTGTTGACGGAGTCCCTAGCACCGTGACAGCCCAGAAAACAATCCTTCTATACCTTTTAAGTTCAATGCTATCAATCAAAAGTTGATCGCCGAAATCTTGAAACGCTATCCCCCACAATACAAGAAAGCAGCTGTCATGCCTCTACTTGACCTGGGCCAGCGCCAGCATGGCTTCACAAGCATAAGCGTTATGAATGAGGTGGCCAAACTGCTGGAGATGCCTCCCATGCGAGTCTACGAAGTGGCGACCTTCTACACAATGTATAACCGGGATCCAGTGGGCAGGTTTCACGTCCAAGCTTGCACAACGACTCCGTGCCAATTAGGCGGCTGTGGTTCTGACAAGATAATGGCTGCGATCGAAGACCATCTTGGCATTCACCCTGGCCAAACGACCGAAGACCGCATGTTTACGTTCTCCGAAGTCGAATGCCTGGGCGCTTGCGTCAACGCCCCCATGGTCCAGATCAATGACGACTACTACGAAGACTTGACTCCCGAATCGATGGTCACCCTTCTCAAAGCATTGCAAGCAACTGCACACGCCACAGGGGCAGCTGGCGGGACGGCAGGAATAGGAGGCGAGAGCGAGACGGGTATGGGACAAAGGAAAGGAGAGGGGAGAGATCAAGACGGCAAGAGTGGGGAAGTGGACGGTCAGGCTGCGAGGGGATATGCGGCGAAAGGGGTCAAGCTGCCGAGTCCAGGACCTATGAGTGGAAGGAAGACCTGCGAGCCGTTTGCTGGTTTGACGTCGCTCAAGGAGGAACCCTGGGGCAATGAGAAGTTGAGGACCGATGGAGCTTTGTAGAAAATTGCAGGGATTTATGTACAGGGCGTTGGTATTGTGACTTTAGTGCGAAAGGATCTTCCGTGTTCTGGAGGCGCGCTGCCAGAATGGCATTTGTAGAAGAATGAGCCTACTGGATCCTGACAGCGTCAACATGAAATACGAGCTTTATTGTTTACGCAATCTTTCACATAGACTGCTTCACATATCGATAGTCCGATCCTTTTGGCTTGACACCCATAAATGCGTAAGCTTTAGAAGCGCCAATACCAAGGCAACCACTTTTTGTGGCAGCTTGTCTGCTGGTGCCCCGTGAGAAGAAGGATACTCATTGACGCCAAATATCCATGTTCTAACGCCACATGTCCGTCGTTTGCCTCATAGGCAGATTCGTAGTCGTCATCTCTAGTCCATCCTCCATCCGGACTCCCTCCCTGTGGTGAATCGATTCCCAGACCTTGATGTCCGCGTAAGTCTCGTCAAATTGGGGGTACTTAATGTGCCACATCATACGATGCTCGTTCTCCCACTTGATGTCATCGTTGGCGTGACGCATGACACTACTGCCGAATTTAGGAATGATAGAGGTCCCCTCCACCCCAACATTGAGACTCACTGCCCGGAGACGAGGCGAGCAAAGTTGAGTTGCAAGTCTACACGAGGCTCAAGGAGTTACATAGATCCGCTGCAGAATGGGCTGTAGATACTGAGCTCTTCAAGCGCCTGAAAATGCTGGAAGCTTCGCTGGCTTGCCAAGTCCTATTGTGGGAAATTAGCTACGGTGGATGAGTTTCTCTTTGTTTAGGCCTACTTACATCGCCAAAGTGAAGACCTAATGTTAGTGTTCGAAGGCGTGGGCACATCTCACAGAGATTTTCGATGTCCCTGGCGGTAGTAGCTCGCTGTCGCCGAATGAGGCGGGATGGCGGCCTGCGAACAGCGTCGGAGTAGTGCAGTTTCAGTACTTCCAGTGTCTCGCCATGCCAGCTAATACTGCGCGCCAGATAGAGCAGCGGCAGTATGATCGCACCTTTCAATGCCAGCTTCTTCAAGCCTTTGAAATGCAGAAGAAAAGCTTCGAAGACTGCGGGCCAACCGCGCGTCGGTAGATTCAAAAGGCCGGGGTACATCCAGTGTGTGTCAAGGACTTCCAAGCGAAGTTCGGCGCTTCTCATCAACGTCGCCAGAAAGTCGGGGAGGTTCAACCGCGGGCCAGGTGTTGAGGTGAGTTCTCGGAGAGCGTGAATCTGGATTCTATGCTCCAAGTCGTCAAGGCGTCCCAGGCCAACAGCGTATGCGTGCAGTACCAGGACCTTTATCGGTGGAATAAGCTTGCCTGGGGTGAAACTGAAAGCCCCTGGGGTGCGAACATAGCCACCCATAGCCGCATCGCTCGGGTACTGGATCCAGACGCTCAATAGCACCAAATTTGGTGCGTTGAGGATAGCCATTTGACAGGACTGGAAGTTCGGGTTCCCATGGCTGATCCTAGGATTGCATTCAACCAGCAAGCTCAAGCGGCTCAGCTTCCAATTCATGCCCAGTGCACTAGAAGGGAGCTTCTTTTCGAGAGCTCCCGCTAAGTGATAGTGTATCCCTACATCCAGAATATTTGAACGGTTTTTGAGTAATTTCCGGAGTGATTCTCGGATTTGGAGGCTGCACTGCCATCTACATGTCTTTTGTTAGATACCCTGCCCACAGCAAAAGCGGCGTGCTCACCTGAAGGTGCGGAGCTTTTGGAGATTCCGCGCGAGATGCTCGAACGTTCAGAAGGTAAAGTGTCAGTGACATGGGGACAAGGAGAAACGGTTGAGAAATATTTTGCGGTCACAGCCGTGATGCCGGATGCGAAGCTTGTGATTTGATGTGACTTGTTTATGTTCAATCGGATACGCTGATAGAGCCATGGATTCGCAGCATCTTGAAGGAGTCGGTTCGACAAGCACATAGCCAGGATGGTGCCCATACTTCCGGTGGCATAGACCTATATAGGAGCATTAGTATGGGGTCCACGTGTTCATTTCTTGTAGCAGTATCCTACTTCACCCGCAATTTGATGCCACAATTCCAGAGGCAAGGAATCCATTGTTATCGATCCGCGCAGGCTTTATCCTGGACTACGCCAGCTATTGAAAGTGCCGAGGCCCCAGAAACCTTGAGGAGAAAACAATAGATAGAATAAACACCACGTCAAGGTGGTTCGTGCGATGCAATGTTGTGCTTCCAGTTGTGTGATTCACTGTGTGCTAGTTCACGAGGTGAGATTAAAAACCTATTATTCCGTAATCGGTATGACCACACCACAGGGATACAGACATTTCCGGGAACGCTTCTTGACACCTGCATTCATCAAGCCAGTAGGGACACCATGGTGGAAACTAGGTGCTTAGGTGGTAGGAGACCCATTTGGAAAAGATCTGATCTTAACGAAAACAGCATCGCAGCCAGTGTTTTTCTAGCTCGTTGACTCTTGCTGTCCTGTCTTTCTTCAACCTAATTTCCATGGTCCAAAGCGTTCCTTCAGGTATTTGAACTATGTTTTCAAGAAAGTAATCCCCATATACCGCTTCTTTCTTCCGGTGGACCATAGATGTACCCTTGGCCATTGAAGTGTTGGTTAGGATAATTTTCCACGAACTTGATCAGAGTCAATTTCCACTGGGACGATGGAAGGCAACATTAGAACAGGGTGGTGAAAGAAGTCTACATGTTTATTCATATAAGACAGAATAGATGCAGCAAGACGTTCTGCAAGAAAGACATGAGATTTTTGATTACATGCTCATGTCCACTAGTGTTGTACCAACTCGTGATTCTTGTCTTGAAAGGTGTCTTTTAATATACAAGACACACAGTAAGAAGAGGAATATAGATGTGAGAAAACACTCACTGTAAAAATCATAGAGTAGCGAAGAAAGAATTTACTAGGAAGCATTTACTAGGAAGATATAATTTTTCGAAGAATACACTTCTAGGTCAACGTCCGCAACTCCGCATAATAAAGTAAATACGGTGATCGTCTGCACGGCAGCTGCCGGCGCTTATAGTCGCCCCAGCCGCCTCCCCAGCTTTGTGAATGATACACTTTATCCACACCATTGGCAAGCAATCACTCACAAGTACAGGCATCGCCTAGATCAAGCACTTTGCCACTCCGGAGTTTTCATATGGTATCTAGACTTATACCTAACTGATGGGGCGCCAGCGCCCATAGAACAACCAGGCGCGTGCCCCTGGCTAAACACCAGCCAACACCATGCCGGACATCGATCCAGCTGCGCTAAGCCGCTCGGACTCAATATCTGCAGCCTTTCCAGGCGCCCTATCCCTCAAACAACCGAATGGTATCTCAGCGCTGCCTTCCCAGAAGGCAATCAAAACAGTCAGCGCCGCGCAGCGCATCGATCTAGAGCCATATTACACTAGCCTGAAAGCTGCTATTGGGGAGAATTTTGCGAAGTACAAGGAAGCCATCTGTCTTTTCATACTCGGTCAGTCTTCTTCTATGGGTTGTGACTGCGAGATTGACAGCGTAAGTCCATTGACTGACTGAGATCGTGCTTCCATAGGCCATCTCAACCAAAACGAGCTCTCCTTCCAAATAGACCACTATGTGACTGCGGACCCAAATACCGAACATTTACACAACCAATTGATAGCAGGCATATTTGCCAATGTTGGTCGCGACCTTCCCGAACCTGGCGTTGCACCATGGGTCTCAGCGAACGACAAGCCAACGGTGCTTGCCAAGCCTGTGTCTGGAGATGCAGCGGAGCAGAGACTGAAGATGGAGATTATGCGCTTGCCGGCGCGGGATCGGCGGAGACTGAAAGAGGTGCCCGATGTGAGTAGCTTGATCCCGCTAAAGACATCCAGCAGCTCCTTCGTCGACGTGAGGCAGTCATGGAAGTTCGATTAGATAAGGACAGCCGCTAATGCTGGTTTTTACTTCATCAGGGCGAAACGTACGACAATGTCTCCCATTCGGTGGTCACCTCAATGAACGACTACCATGCTGCAAAGATGATCAGGCTTCCAGACAGTGTTTCCGCGAGCGCAGGTGGACTCAATAAGACAAGTAAGAAGAACTCGATCTTGCGTGTCTTCCGTTCCATTTCCGCTTGTCCTGCTCGCTAATTACCCGGAAATATAGACTGGGACCTTGAAATCCGCAAACGCTACTCCCAGCCCCTCGCCAGTGAAACCGGCGAGTTTCCCGACGTGGAAACAATCCACAACCGCATGGTCCCTATCTGCTACGAACAATCGCTACCTAATGGGCCATCTGCCGCCTGCGCCGAATTTATGGCGACTGCTACAGAACAGTACATAAAATCTGTCGTCGGCTCGGTGTTAGCCAAAACGCGAAGCAACCTTGCAGGCGCGGCTGGTTCAATATCCATAACCACGCACCGCTACCGGCAACAGCTTGATAGAGAAGAAGAGATGCTATCCAAAGGGGAAACATCGAGAGGCATGGTGACCAATCTCTTGCCGGCAGAGGCCAAAGAAGCGGCAGCCAGGAGACCGCTGGGAATGGATGATTTCCGAATCGCATTGGAAGTTGGTGGAGCTTGTGGTATTGGTCAGATGCCGACGATTGTGCAGAACATAATGGGCGGCTGGCCAGAAGGGGTCCTGGAAGGATGGGGCAGACATCCTGACGAGGACGTGGAAATACAAGATGTGGAGATGGAGCGAAGCGGTGCCCGGGTGAACGGAGTCTCGACTAACAGTGTCCATGTAAACGGGAACGTGCCCGCGGATCATGAGAATTATGGCTGGGAAGGCGGCTCGGCAAAGGATCGAGAAGGTCTCTTTTCGCTGTTGGACGAGTGCTTGGCAATCGGGCAATGATCTCTGGTGATCTTGTGGATTCTTTCATGACTTGATGCATGCCATGCGTACGTGCATGGGGAGTTGGCAGCATATGGCTCTGGATATTGGCGAGGGCAAAAATGGCGTTTGGTGATATGGAAAGATACCCACTTTGCATTAATGGAAGGCTTACATCAGGGTGGCATGCGTGGTGTTGTTTAAGCAATCGTTCTCCTTCTATCAAGTGTATGATATCGCTACAAGGGCACTCGACCGCCTCATGTCAATAGTTGTGAGCACGACAAATATTCAATTCATCGAAATACCTTACACCAAGAAAAGCTTTTCCGCTTTCCAAGGCTCCTTTTGAAGCAGCCCAAACCGTCTATGACATGTTTTTTTCTCAGTTGACGCCCAACATCGACGTGAAAACAGAACCTTCAGCTCTCAGACTGCGACTTCCTCTGACAACCTGCCGGGAGGACGTGGTAAGATGCCACAGCGGAGGGGCGTCGGTCCCATGCTTGATCGTACGGTTGAAGCCTCGAGGGTCGCAGGGATGGTAATGCAATTCCTAGCTGTCGTCGCCCTCGGATGCTTCTTGAGCTGGAAAATTCGGGGCTCAGGCTTTGAGAATATGGCTAAATTGGACTTTACTTACGCTTTGAAAGGGGCGAGAAGACTTGCTCAAGGGCGTAGAATTGATCATCGGTGCAAGGAAATGCAGATTTTTTGGTTCTTGATATCGAATTGGGTTCATTATGCTATGTGCAGACACTGTATCATTTTCCCTTCTCCCATAACGCCTTGCTAAATCGTAGAGATACTACATCGGGCCTCGTCTATTTCATATCCTCAACATCAGCTGAAATGAATCCCTTCCTTGTTAAACGCCCACAGCAATCGGAGAAAGTCACTCTCATCGCACATCCTCGCTCTCTTATCCGCAAGCTCCGTCTCGTCCTCCAAAATCTTCCTCACCTTTTCTCGGACTAATTCAGCGACTTTACCCTTCCTCTTCCTCGTTCCCCCAGACTTGGCGTTTAATATCTTGGCCTTCTCATCTAGCTCGTCTTGGAAAAAGGAGGGTGTATCCGCGTCATCTACATCCATGATACCTCCCCACTCTTCTTCTTCTTCCTCTTCTTCATCACCTGCTCCTGGCTCTTCATCTTTTACCGCTTGCACCTCGGCAGCAATTTCCATTCCCACTTCAGCACCGTTGACGTCGGATGGCCCATCTTCAACGGAGACATTGTTCTGCGCGCACCAGGTTCGGTAGTTGGCTTCGAGCATCTCCATAACGGTAGTCGTACCAAGAAACCCCGCTCTCAGCGTCCGGTTCTTCCTCACGAAACAAACCCTCAGTAGCCCATCCCATTCGTCCCAGCTGACATCCGGTCTTGGTCTCTTCGGCACCAGTCTTACCACGCTACTCTCCACCGCTGGTGGAGGACGGAAATTGTTGCGGCCCTGGCGACGTTAGCATAGCGCCTCCTGCGCTGAACAGTTCGTAGCAGTAATACATACGATTTTCATGATGTGTGTTACTGTGGCCCACATTTGCGTATTGACTGAGAGTCGCGAATAGAGAGTGGAGCCAGGCCTAGCAAAAAGTCGTTGCGCAAATTCGAGTTGAAAGGTTAGGATGCAGGTACGAGGGGCGGGAGAGAGTGCAAGGAGTTTGAAAGTTAAGGGGGAGGAGATCTGGGATAATTAAGTTGGCTAATTGTTTGAATAGCGAGGTGGAAAAAGAGGGCGTACTTGATATGGTGTATTGCTTATGCAGACATCGAAGTACTAGGAACGCTCCATGGTCAGCAATTTCTTTCTGGGGTAGGAATCTCGTGACTGCTCTCACGAAAGGTTCATAAACAGGTCTCGCAAAACAGAGAGAGGGGGCTCTTACAGGTAAATCGGTTTTTACAACGTCACCGAGCAAGACCTCCAATCGCTTCTGCTCAGGTTTGCCTTGTCTTTTAGTTAACCCAAATTATGAAATCTTAGAGAACCACTTGGACCCAGACAAAACTCACCTTGCACGCGTTTTGTGACTTCGGCTGCCATCCTGGGATCCAATTCGACGGCAATGACTTTCTTTGCTTTCTCAAGTATCTTGACCGTCAAGTTACCCGTCCCAGGGCCCACTTCGAGGACGATCTTCTAGCCGTCAGCATTGACTTCATCGCCCAATCTGGGAGAAGTTGGCGGCTGACATCGCTCTGTTTAAGGTCGGCTTTGTCGACTAGAAAAAAATTATGGAGTCAGTATCCCCTCTCTAGAACAGAAATTCGAGCCTGAGAGATGACGATCCGAAAACACATACCTATTGCCTGTGCCACACCAGGATTCTTGAAATAGCATGTCAGAGAACCTGGCCTTTTCGATACTTGAACGAAGGCATACCTTAAGCACATGTTGACCGATATTCTGAATTACGATTTCGCAGTCAGCATTACGCAATCGAGAGGTTATATCAAGCCTTGGCACATGCTTGGATAGCGGTAGCTTGCGAGCCGTTCCCCAAGACTCGTCTCAAGACTCCAGATTTGAACGTACTGTTTTCATCTTGAAGATATGGTTCGCCGCAGAGCCATGACTGTACGGGCTGCTGCCATGGGCTGCGCCGTTGCGCTTTTTGCCAGCAGCTTTGGGCATCTCCACTTCCCAAGTTAGAAGAAGCTGACTACTCGAGAGACGAAATGCGGACCAAACGTGAGAAAATCCTTGAAAAGTAGGACGCTCCCGAAAAGAAGATTTCTGGATGTTTGAGGCTTGACAGTCAAGCCCAGCGGCAAGACACTAATTTAGAGTAAAACGGCTCTCAAACACACAGCTCACGAGTACATGGGATTCAGATGGCATAAAGGGGATGATTAAGATGACAATCATGCGATATCAGATCAGACCGACCGGTGGAAGTAAGGATTTTTGAATTTGTAGTGGTTCACCTTATCGATAAGGCGGGAATCTTTTATTACTTGTATCTTAGCGCTGTCGATCGACAACCTTATTTAAGCCTCATGCTCGTTCTTTGCCTGCCAGCCTGCGATTTCCATTGGGGGCTGCGTGACTCAATTCTGAGCCCAGCGACAGCTGCAGGTGTACTTGACAAGACCGGCAGCGCACTCTATTCCACGAAACTATGTCTGGACGCAAGGACTTCTTGAGTCAGCCTGCGCCTGAAAATTATGTCGCTGGGTTGGGACGTGGTGCCACCGGATTCACAACACGATCCGACCTAGGCCCAGCGAGGGAGGGCCCAAGTGAAGATCAGATCAAAGAAGCTCTAGCGAAACGCGCTGCACAGCTTGGAGCAGCCCCGCCGACAGCATACGGTGCTACAGAAAAAAAGGAAGAGGACGACGATGATGACCGGTTTCAGGATCCAGAGAACGAGACCGGTTTGTTTGCAAATGGGCAATTCGATCGTGATGACGACGAGGCAGATCGAATATATCAAGATATCGACGAACGTATGGAGAAGAGAAGAAAATCAAGAAGGTTAGTTCTCCTCTTTTCTTGCTCCTGCATAGGACCTTTCCCCATATGTTGTACACATGGTTTATCATTATTCCCTTTGTTTGAACAGATTACCGACTTGAACACGTCCGCCATATCTAGGGAAGCACGCGAAGCCCAGGAGCGAGCAGACTACGAAGCCAACAATCCGAAGATCCAACAGCAATTCGCAGATCTCAAGCGGAGCCTTGCTAGTGTGTCAGAAGAAGACTGGGCAAACCTACCGGAAGCTGGAGACTTGACTAGGAAAAACAAGAGAACCAAGACTGAGGCCCGCAATAGATTTTACGCAGTGCCGGATAGTGTCATTGCTGGAGCAAGAGATTCCACTCAAATGGACACCAGCGTGGTAGACGATGGCTCTACTAATGGAGCAGGTGGAGATGCCATGGATGGGACTATGACCAATTTTGCGGACATCGGAGCTGCAAGAGATAAGGTGTTGCAGGTTCGGCTGGACCAAGCAGCCCAATCAGGAGGTGCAGACTCCACATCAGGCATTGCCACGAACATCGATCCCAAGGGCTACCTAACGAGCCTTTCAAAATCCGAACTCAAGGCTGGTGAGGTGGAGGTTGGAGATATAAACCGTGTGCGAGCCTTACTAGAGTCTGTCATCAAGACCAACTCACGGCATGCCCCAGGCTACCTGGCGCTGAGTCGGCTGGAGGAACTCGCTGGAAAAATAGTTGCAGCAAGGAACGTCATAGCCAAGGGTTGCGAGATTTGTGGTTCACAGAGCGAGGATATTTGGCTTGAAGCCATTCGCCTGTCGAGCGGAGGGGACAACCACAATGGCAAGGTCATTGCAGCCAATGCGTTGAAGGCACAGCCACAATCTACAAGGCTTTGGATCCAGGCCATGGAGTTGGAGAACACGATTCCGGGGAAGAAGCGTGTAATGCGCAAAGCTGCGGACTTTCTCTCAAAGAGTGTGGTCATTTGGAAGGAGATGATCAAGCTTGAAGACAGCGAACAAGATGCTAAACTGCTATTAGCTAAAGCTACAGAGGAAATACCGCTCTCCGTAGAGCTCTGGCTGGCGTACGCTCGGCTTGTTGCGCAAACCGAAACACCGGAGAATGCCCAGAAGGTCCTGAACAAAGCTCGATTGGCCAACCCATCCTCGCATTTGGTCTGGATAGCGGCTTCGCGGTTGGCAGAAGAAACTGGTAAAGGAAATCCAGAACAGATTATCCGTAGGGCCATTCAGTCATTGGCTCGTGAGAATGCCATGTTGAAGCGCGAGGAATGGGTACAGGAGGCGGAGAAATGCGAGACTGAGGGTGCGATCAAGACAGCAGCGTGCCTCATAAGGGAGACCCTGGGCTACGGCCTGGACGATGATGACGATGACCGCAAAAACATCTGGATGGAGGATGCACAAGGGTCTATCAGTCGAGACAGATACGAGACCGCAAGAGCCATCTACGCCTACGCGTTACGGGTTTACTTCACTTCCAGAAAACTTTGGCGAGCCGCTGTCGACCTCGAAAAAGCTCACGGAACACCAGAAGCTCTCTTTCAGCTTATGGAAAAGTCAGTCGAGGCCGTGCCCAATGACGAAGACCTTTGGATGATGTACGCCCGGGAAAAATGGCGGACCAATGAGCTTGATGAAGCACGTAAGATTCTTGGCCGAGCTTTCAACCAGAATCCCGAGTCCGAATCCATATATCTTTCCGCCTTCCAACTCGAAGCGGACAACCATCAAATATCGGCCGCGCGGGAACTACTCCGCACCGCTCGCCAAGAAGCCAGTACGGACAGAGTGTGGTACAAGAGTGTTGCTTTCGAGCGTCAACAGGGCGATAACGAAGCAGCGCTTGATCTATGCCAGCAAGCTTTGAATACATTCCCAAGTTGCTGGAAATTACATGCCTTGAAAGGACAAATATACACATCGAAAGGTCAAATACCGCAAGCGCGAGAAGCGTACAACGTCGGAACACGGGCATGCCCCGCAGCTGTACCACTCTTCATCCTCCTCAGCCGCCTCGAAGAAGCAAGCGGTGTAGTCGTCAAAGCCCGAAGCGTACTCGAACGGGGCCTAATGTCCTCGCCCAAGAGCGTCGAGCTCCGACTCGAAGCCATCCGCGTCGAACGCCGAGCGGGCAACATACCCCAAGCCAAGGTCCTAATGGCCAAAGCGCTGCAAGCCCTCCCGAGTAGCGGCCTCCTCTGGTCCGAATCAATCTGGCACCTTGAACCGCGCACGCAACGTAAACCCCGCAGTCTCGAAGCCATCAAGAAATGCGACAACGACCCCACACTCTTCGTGACCGTCGCCCGCGTCTTCTGGAATGAACGTAAGTTAGACAAAGCGGCAAATTGGTTCGAGAAGGCGATTGTGCTGGATGCGGACTTGGGAGATACGTGGGCTTGGTACGTCAAGTTTTTGATGCAGCATGGGACGGAGGAGAAGAGGAGGGAGGTGGTGGAGAAGTGTGTGGCGAATGAGCCGAGGCATGGGGAAGTGTGGCAGAGGGTGAGGAAGGAACCGGCGAACAAGGCGTTGGGGACGGAGGAGGTGTTGAAGAGGGTGGTGCGTTTGTTGGATGAGGAGGAGAAGGGAAGGGGTGGTTAGATCTACGACAGGCAAGCTAGCCCAGCAGAGAAATCCGTAGTCTAATCATACGATTCTGGACACGTTTCGGAAACGAAGTATCGTCCACCACTGCAGTTGCTTCAGTACTCTCTAACAATAAACAATTAAAAATCTTCCTCGGTGGTGCCGCTGTTGACGATACTGTACGGATCCTCACCACCTCGACCGTCACCTTTTCCTTCGCGCACCTTATCTGCCTATGCCATGCTCAGATGTCAGAGGCCTCGGACCGTGCTGTCGTGCTCCGTCCAGATGCTAAAGAATACGGAAGGGCGCTTCGTAAACGCAATGCCTGGTCCTTGGCAACTCTGAATAACCGTAAGAATGCGAGTATCAGACTTCTATCTATCTATCTATCTAAACTACCATTCGTCGATGGAATGGCCTTGGTCTAGGGAAGTTGGCAGTGAAGAAGTATGAGACTGCATTCCTCGCCTGTCATCATTATCACATGCGAGTTTCGTATTTTACAATGGGCATCAAGATATTATTTGAAAAGAATTGATTGATTGATTGAATGATTGATCCTGCACCTAATCTAATGTACACGATGGAAGTGCATCAACAGCACTTCCCAATAACGATTTTCCGATAATTCGTTCCTTCTTCCCCCTCCAACGCCAATTGGGATCGCACGTAAATCTCCTGCGGCAAGAAGTGAAGTCGAAGGGATGCAGCTTGAAGGGAAGCCAATCAGCACTCCCGCCCATAAAGCCCCCCGTTCAGCCATTCCTATTGTAAGGATGGAACCCCCTGTGTCCCCCCCTCCCCCCATGCCCACCCCTATAGTTCGCCCCGGGCTTGCCCGCATTCTTTGGGCCCGTCGGTGCATTCGCAGGCGCACTCGGGGCTCCGGCCGGCGGTCCTGCACTGCCTCTGTTCCCACCCCTACCTCCACCCCCACCACCTCTTCCACCCGGCTGCGGGACATCATCGTACATACCCTCCCAAGACGTAGGGCCACCTTGCTGGTATGATTGCATCTGCTGCGCTTCCTGTGCGGCGCGGCGCGCTTGCTGCTGTTCGTACTTCTGCTGCTCGAAGGCGAGTTGGTCTTGCGCGTTGTAGCCTGGTGTGCCACGTCTAGGTCCTCCTCCTCCGGGGCCAAAGCCAGGGCCAGGACTAGCGCCCATAGGACCACCGCCTCCGTTGAAGTTGCCTCCTCCTCCTCCTCCTCCTCCTCCGCCTTGCTGGGCTTGAAGTTGGGCTTGTTGCATTTGCATCTGCTGCATTTGTTGCATTTGTTGCAGCATGGCTGGGTTCATGCCTTGCATGCCGCCTTGCGCGCCTGGACTTTGCGGGAGTGGGGATTGGGAGCCTTGTTGTCGGCCCATCTGAGCTTGTTGCATCTGTTGCAGGGCTTTCATTTGCTGCATTTGTTGCATTTGCTGCATCATAGCTGGATTCATGGCGCCCATACCTCCCATGCCTCCGTTTTGCATGACGGCGGCGGAAGCCATTTGTTGCTGCATGGTGGTGAAGTACTGTTGCATCTTTTGCCAGTACTGCGCCATCATTTGGGGCGTCATGCCGCCCATCATATTCTGTCCACCTTGCTGATTCTGGGTGCCTTGATTTTGGTTAGAATTGTTGTCGAAGCCACGGTCATTGTCTCGGAAGTCTTTGCCTCCACGGCCACCACCGCGTCCACCACGTCGGCCTGGGGGTTCTTCTTCTTCGCGCATGTTGCCTCGAGGTTGCGCTTTCTTGACTTCGATGGGCTTGCCGAGGATTTGGAGATCGCCTGCTAGAGTGGCGTCGACGGCGGCTTCGCTGTCGAAAGTGACGAAGCCGAAACCTCGAGGACGGCCAGTGTCCTTGTCCATCATGAGAGTGGCATCAACGACCCGTCCGAACTGGGCGAAGTAATCCTTGAAGACGTGTTCATTTGCGTCCTGGCTGACGCCTCCAACAAAGATCTTGCTGGTGCGTTCTTGTTCATCACGAGGAATAGCCCGCTTGGGGTCGATCTTGGAAGACAGTGAGCTTTTGGTTCTGGAATGGGGGGAAAGGAGCCTTATGGGGGTTTTGGTGGAAATAGATATATCGGGTCTTACAATCTTGCCATCCAAGTAGTGTTCCTTTACCATCACTACATTGACGGTCTTGGGGTCCTTGAAGGTGAGGAAGCCAAATCCACGTGACCGGCCACTGGCGCCATCGCGCATAACGGTGCATTCTTGCACTTCGCCGAAGGTTGAGAAGTATTCCTTCAAAGATTCTAAGGCAGTGGTGGTCAATGAGAAGGGGTTCCAAAGACATAGGATTGTTAGGGCTGAATGTACGTACGGTCGGTAGTTTCCCAATTCAATCCACCAATGAACATTTTTCTACATGACAGACGCAAAGATTAGCAGCGAACATCAACGCAAAAGTAAACATGCAAACAGTAGATACGAGAAATCGAAAGGCAGAACCGGCATGATAGATAAGAAATTAAAGTGAGCCTAAGCCGGTGTCCAGGTTTCCAGAATGTAGTCCAGCCGGAGTCGATGATTATTTGTCGTAGCAGCCCTCAGAAGTGGGTTGAAACGTTCTGGGAGACCTTCTTCAGAGTTGGAGTGTGTCATTTGATGTGAGTATGCGTATGCGTATGCGTGCCAGGAGATGGTGAACCCTTTGTCATCAAGCAGCACACTTTCGGTTTTTGACATAGAGGTGGGAATGATGACAGGCAGCATGCCGTGCACCACTGAGTACACGGACGGATCAATGTACACGTGGATGATTCGTCTTTTGCTATAGAGTCGTATGCTAGGTACCGGTACGCGGCCACTATACTTCGCTGAAGCTAGGCATGGCAAGACATGGGGTCTGCATCCTAGCCTGCTCTATGAAGATAGTATCGACAATAAGCTATGTAGCAGCAGTAGTGGTACTATTATGAGGTCACGAGGTAGTCCGGGTGTCGCGCAGTGGGCATACTGATCCACTTGTCCCGCTCTATCTGCCCAATTCATAAAGAACTCCTCTTGGCGGTTAGGTAGAGCCACATATTCTCCAAGACGCAGGCCATCAGTTTCTGAACCATACTACTCATGCTGCAGACCGTCCAAGCAATGCTTCAGATACTGCCCCGACCCCTAGCCTTCCACCATTTTCCAACCATCAACAAAAGACTCAACAGACCGTGGAGGCAAAAGCCCTCGTTCGATCATGTAGGAGCTTTGGTCTTGGAGGTCTAGCCACGGCCTTGACCGATGACGTCTTCCTCGCTTGTTCTCCTTGCTCGACTTTATTCCCTGGGAGGTCTGTCCACGGGGGGATACGGCATCTTATGGCTGGCAGTCTCACGATGATTTGTATTCAAGACTCATAACATTTGCAACCGCGGGAAGCACGGACACAAAGTCAAAGGCAAAGGCATACTGCCTAAACGCAAGTTGAAAAGCAGTAAAAAAAGCTGAAAGTAGAATATGATCCTGGAACTTACCCATCCTCTTTGATACCAATCGGTGCTGGCTCCTGCTCCATCGCTGCATCATTGTACTGGTGTGCGTTTCCTCCGTTTGCCTGCCCGGCGTTCCATGATGGCCCGGTATCGCCATTGTGGCCGTTTCCATACATTGGCTCATCCTTTATAGGTGCGCTTCCTGATTCTTCATCTTTCGGCTCTGGATTCGCGTCGCTCGTGAATGCACCAGTATCGCTTGGAGCTGAAGCTTGTATGGGTTCACGCTGGATGTCTTGTACCAAGGCTTCGGGCTTTGCTGCTGCATCATCTGCGTCGTAGCTATGAAAAAGATGTCAGTATTCTGACATAGTGGCACATCTATCGGGTGGGCCCAAGTGTTAGCGCAACATTGTGATGGTTTGACTCACAGATCTGCGAAGAGATCCTCGTCGAGCTCCTCAGGCTCGGTCATGTTAAAAGTTAGTGGAAGTGTAGATCTTTTGTTTGGTGATAGCAGGAAGCCCCTGAGGTAGCCTGTCTCAGATGCGGAGCTTGTAGTCCCCAAAACAACCAGCAGTCTTACGGTGGTTCCGGCAATGACGAGCAGTGATGAGAATAAAGGACAAAGGGTCACTCAAACCTGAAAGTGAGAGAGAGAATAAGTTATGCGTTGAAGGCACGATGCATAAGGAAGAAAGAGAAGTATGACACGTATGAGAGATACGGGTTTTGAGAGTTGATGGGGGAAAGAAGTGAGGTCGGAGCTGGAAGACAAGTTGGTAATGACTTTGGCCCGCGGCTAGTCCCACAGCCGCTAGCCGCTTTTAGACCCCTTGTGTCATCTTCACTTAGAGAGCCATTCGCAGGACAGAGCTGTCCTGCGTGCCGCATCGGGTTTGGGCTTGATACACTCCTTATCAGTTATTGCTGGACTTATAACATACAGTATGGGTTCCAGAAAACCCCCTAACCAGGTATGTGTCCACCCCAAGGGTGCTCCATTGTGAGACCTTGCCTGACGAAGCATGCAATGTTGCAGGAAATGGTTCAGGTCGGTTCGTACTCTACTTTTACGTCTCGGAGATTTTGAGTCCTCTCGTATGTACCGCGGCAGTGTGTGCTAAGTCATATACCGGCCAGTAGATTCTAGCGAGTATGTACTCCATGGGCGTTACAACATCAGCACAGGCGCCAGCTGACCATCTTCAGCAAAAGCACCTCTCCCTTTTGGCGTAACAGACCAAGCAATCCTAGGAATGTATCCTCAAAGGCTGCGGACCCCGATATGGTCGTTGGTGCATCATATTCGCATACGGATATTCTGAAGTTTGATTCCTTGTGAGCTGCATTTTGCAAACATTCCAGCCTTGTACTGACACTTGTGGAGATCCCTAACGCCTTCGAATTCGAGACCCCACACACCTCCGTCTCTGTCCAGGGGCAACACTCGTAATACGTCGACTCCGCCTCCAAGATCCAACTCTGCTCTTTCTTCGCCCCCAAAACGACCCACTTATCCTCAACTCCTGTCACAGACCAACAGTGACTGGAGCGCGGGTCATGAGAACTATGACGAAGATGAAGATGATGTTGAACGCTACTTCTACAATGACAATGCAGACGAGGATGAATTTGGATTGCCAAGTATATCGAGTATGCGGAGAGAAGCAAAGAAAAGGATACCCAATAAGAAGACCAATGATCCTGGCGGAGGCTCTGGCAAGGGTAGCAATGGCATGAACTCGATGCTGACACCTGAGCGGCTACCTGGACGAGCAAGAGCAAACAGCTCGGACATTGCTGAAGAACGAGGGGCTCCTATCTATCCTACAGCAAAGCAAAACGAAGGAAAGATATTGAGGCCCCAATACAAAGACATCCTACGCGGTTCGTCTTCCTTGATCGTGAATTTAGGGAAGTACTGAATTCTTGTCCACAGATCCTGCAAACTCTCTCCACCTGATCAATCACCCTCCGCTTCCTCAAAATGCAACTCCCAAAGAAGCGGGAGCCCACTCTACCCGAATATCTCGTATCAACAAGTTCAAGCGGATCCTTCAAGCAAGCTCCATCCCACTCTCCGATCTTCGAGACTCGTCTTGGTCTGGCATACCCGAAGAGGTGCGCGCCATGTCATGGCAGCTTCTTCTCGGTTACCTTCCAACAAGCAGTGAACGGCGTGTTGCAACCCTTGAGCGCAAGCGAAAGGCCTACCTGGACGGCGTGCGGCAGGCTTTCGAACGAGGTGGTAGCGCCCCCAATGCATCCAATGGGCGGACTTCTACGACTAGTCAAGCGCGGATTCGCGGTCTCGACGAAGCGTTGTGGCATCAAATCTCAATAGACGTACCCCGAACAAGCCCTCATCTACAACTCTACAGCTACGAAGCAACCCAGCGCTCTCTCGAACGCATCCTCTACGTCTGGGCAATCCGCCATCCAGCCAGCGGCTACGTGCAAGGGATCAATGACCTCGTCACACCCTTCTGGCAGGTCTTTCTTGGCAGCTACATTACTGACAATAATGTTGAAAGCGGCATGGATCCCGGGCAGCTTCCGAAGCCGGTCTTAGACGCCGTGGAGGCGGATTCTTTCTGGTGCCTTACGAAATTGCTCGACGGTATACAAGATAACTACATATACGCTCAGCCAGGGATCGTGCGGCAGGTCAACGCACTTCGCGACTTGACCACACGCATTGATGCAGGCCTAGCGAAGCACCTTGAGAGCGAGGGCGTGGAATTCATGCAGTTTAGCTTTCGATGGATGAACTGTCTACTAATGCGCGAGGTGTCTGTGAGAAACACTATCCGAATGTGGGACACCTATATGGCTGAAGAGCAAGGATTTTCGGATTTCCATCTATATGTATGTGCGGCTTTTTTGGTGAAATGGTCTGAGCAGCTTGTGAAGATGGATTTCCAGGTTCGTTGAGTTGCTCTCCAGAGCATGGTCTGTTCAGAATCGAAGCTGACAGGCATGATAGGAGACCATGATGTTCTTGCAAGCTTTGCCGACCCGAGACTGGACCGAGAAAGATATCGAGTTGCTGCTCAGCGAGGCGTTTATATGGCAGAGCTTATTCCGAGGCTCGAGTGCCCATTTGAGAAATTCGAGTGGCGTCACATAGATACTAGATTTAGTGTAGGGAGGACGCGACTTAGCATGGTAATACCCGTTGCACTTGTCCCGAATTCAAACATACTGTCCTTTTTGCAAACGGCCAAATTGCGGGGTGTGCAGGTCGCCTGGTCTTGGAAATATGTACTTTTGGCAAGGTGCTAAGAACGGTTGGCCTCCGAAACGGTATAATTCTCAAAATCTCAACAAGCACAGCATCAACAGAGAGGACTGTATGCTTGTTCTGTGTTCCTCCTGGAGCAGTTCTGACCATAAACGACATTGTGTTCCGGGCTGAGGACCAATGTTGACGGGAAAGTAAGAGGGTTCCAGCTCCTCAGACTGCTACTTTGACACCCTGCCTTACTTCTAGGATACGAAGATTTAGCACGTGCAAGAAGAAGCTTTACAATTCTTGGCATTGAGAAGATGGCACCCCCCATTTGGTGCCTGTTGCGCTCTATCTCAATTGAAGAAGATGATATGAAAGAGAAGCTGGAATGCGCAATTTGTCTTTAGCCAAATCCAAAGCAAGCATGGCATTTCGATGATGCACATGGACTGGGAAGTGCAAAGAGACGAGCGCTACTGCAACATGTTTTTGTTGGTAAGTCACTCGCATGACTCTCTCTTTAGCCTTGATGTACGTTTATTAACTCGCGAATCTTTCGTCGAGAATCCGAGGGATAATTCAGCTCACATCGAGGCTGGAGGAGTTTACTTGAGCCAAAATTGGCTGAGCTGCATCGCTCAGTGTGATATAAAGATTGTGTTCTTGACCTAGGCGCAAACAAAATGAGTCACAGCAACGACCCTCGGAATTTCGGGGATAGAACCACCAACCCAGGCGAGTGCTCTTTCCCCACTTCCCTTGCCTTACACAGATCGCTTCCAGAGTCGTAGCGGCCACGTACAGCTCCCATGTTGCCCACGAGTCAGAAGCGCCAGAAGTGAATAAGCTGAGCACACACCGGCCGTCGTCTAATGTTGCAAGCTGTCAGGATGAATCTCAACCTGAAAAATGGACGACTGACCACCATATATACTCCGTGGAAGAGTAACATCTACGTCGGCGTCTCGCTCTCCAAAGCTTTGATCCCGACTGCTTGCGGGCAGAGAACTTCGAAGACTTTGACATGATGAAACAGGCGGACCCATAGGTGGAGGATCCATGCATTGGAGACCAGCCCGTGTGTAAGCAGAATTGACTTCCACATCCAAAGTGATCTGGTGGTCAAGACCTAGGCGAAAGTAAAAACAACGCCCGTCTGCGAGACTCAACCACGCGGTAATGAAAAATTGAGAACACATCACTGACCAAGCTCTGTGACTGCTCCCTCAAGGCTCGGTGTCCTCCCCACACAAGTTCGTAACAGCGTCGACGCCGCTGACGCAAGCTCAGTAACCGACGTCTCGTCAGGCTCAATGTCTTCGAGATAGAGGGTAAAAATGCAAAGACCATCAGCTGTTCAATTTTAGGAAAGTTGAGGAGAGATTGAATAATACTGAACGCTTGGTGCACATTGTGTCACTCACAGCTGATGAATGCCATTGCGCCTGAAACGTCCCAAAAACCTCGGCCTACAAGAGTTTCAAATCATTGTCTGACGTTCGAACGTATTCACTGTTTTCGGTGCCCACCTCGTTCTCCGACGGTGATTTTCAGCCTGGGAAGGCTCCTGAGCCATGTGAGCAGAACATTGTAAGCCTGCTCACAGCTGTTGGCGTTTGGACTGGGGCGACGACTGTTACAATTTATGTGAGGCGCTGTAAGTTGCGTTGCGTTTCCACCTACGGCAGAGTTTGAGGCGCTGATTAGATCCAGTGATAAGTCTGCGGGTTTAGCGGGCAGAACAATACCAGGTGATGACACTGGAGATGCGTTGTTTGCCGGAGAAGACAGACTCATGAGATCCACGGCATGAACACTTTGCGCACGGGGCGCCAGCGCACTTGACTGGCCCAGACAAAAGAGCACAGGGCATACGCAGAGAGACAGAGCGAGCGAGAACATGCTCGAAGCCGAAAAGCCAGAATCGTAGTGACTGGTAAGCTCTAATGAGATTTTGCGAGAAGGAAGTGGTTGACTGAGATGGCAGAGACTTGTTCTCACTTGTGTATCATATATGGCGAGAAAAAGTCGCGTAGGAGAATTACGCGGTGTTGATCAAAATAAAAAAATTATTTTATATAAAAATAAAAAAAAAAAATAAAAATATAATTAAAAAAAAAAAAAAAAAAAAAAAAATATATAATATAAATAAAAAAAATAAAAAAAATAATTAATTAATAATATAAAAATATTAATAGATAATAAATAATAGAAGTATAATCGTTCTTTAAGACTATAAGAAATTCGGATAGAGACCTCTAAAGAATAAGGAATAACTAGGTATTGTGTGGGTAGAAGAAGGATGACTACTATGTATGGCTGGTGCAGGGCCAGATATCTACCATGGCCAAGGCCCACTAGTGTTGTTGGCTAGGCAACCCCTGTCAACTCTCTTGGCATCATGTTCGGGTTACAGCTCGGCAGAGGTGAAAAAAAGTTCGGCAGGGGTGAAGCTTTAGTATATGCTTACTTTATCTTAGATGAACTTATAGTATATGCTAAACATATCTATTTCACCCCGAATGAACTCGGGCCGAGTCGAAAATAATATCGGCACTTTAGGGGAGTCAAGGCATATACTAGGCATATGCTATAATTTATATTTTTAAAGTAAACGCGTAATAAGATAGGTTTCGAAATTATTAGGGGATTTGATTCTTTAAGGGATTAGGATTATTTGATAGAGGTAAGGTATATGTTAAGTATATGCTGTTAAGCCTTAGTTAGATATGTTTGTGGGTAAGGTAAGTTACCTCGCGCGGGCTAACATTGCTAGACTAAGTTAATTTTTCTTCACCCCCGATGAGGTATCGGCATATGCTGAGTGTATCCCTTTCACCCCGGACGAGGTGCATATACTTAGCATCTACTCACCCCTGCCGAACTTTTTTTCACCCCTACCGAGCTGTAACCCGTGTCTGGGTCGCCTTACTAATTCTTGATTCTTGATAGAATGCATGACCTACTGGTGCCTTGTACATCACTAAGGCCCACCTTTCAAGTGATTGTATTTTTGCGCGGAACATTACACTCTACAATCAATCTTCTCTATCTCCTTAAGCCTCAAGCAACAGCTACCTCACCAAAGTGACGAGGCCAACTAGGCCGGATTTGGACGTAACCACATAGCAACCCCGCTACTCTAGAAGAAATCCAGAAACGGATCGATGAGATGCCGGAACGCTGTTCATGGCTTGTAAATAACAGTGGCAAGGGTATTAAATCAGCTACGTGGTGATCTGATAGTGGTAGAATAGCAGAAATGTAGCCAATTTGATCTGGAGAAGCTATGTCCAAATCCGGCCTAGTTGGCCTCGTCACTTTTTGCACCCCCTAGTGATCTGATAAGATCTAATTTTAATCCCCATCGTCCTTAGCGTTTATGGATTTATTCTGTCTGTCAAATCAAATTGACGTTGTCAAGGTTTGAAAAATCTTATTATTAATATTATAGAATGTCACAGTATAAGAAGCTCTCAAGAGAGGTCTAAAATGTACTAAAGCCGAACATCGAGAGGTAATATCTTAAAGAAGGGAAAATAAAACGTAGTATCACAACCGAGTTGAAAGACCTTCACGCCAGACTGTTAAATTTTAATAACGACTTGTTATTTTTCTATAAAGGAGTACGGTTTCTTTTAAATCTCAGCTAACGCTAGTATATAATATCGAAGAGTTATTAGATTAATCTAGCTATATTTCTTTAATTAGTAAGAGATTATAGTAGTAAATAGAGAATATATTCTAACTAATCTTATCGTCTTCCCTATACCTCGCTATCGTTATTCTCTACTCTTTTATTTTTCTTATATCTCGCTATCGTTAAATCTTCGCGTAATCCCCTCTTATATAGTCTTAATATCGTTTTTTCTTTATATTTATTAGTTTTTTTAGTATAAAGGCTTTGAGAATACTTAGAAGAAGTTAGATTAATACGATAATAACTCGAAGAATATTAATCGAGATTATAATTCGAAGACGAAGTATTACGATTTTAATAATCTTACGATCTTATTTACTTATATTATAACTTAATTAAATTTAGCGTATTAAGACCTTTCGATCTTTTTATTTTACTATAAAGTCTATATTTATAATAATTCTATATAAATAATATTCTCTTTATATTATAATATAGAGTTATTATATATATTATTAAGTCTTTAATATAATACTATCTATCTTTCTTCTAAAGTAATAGTAATTTATTTATTAATTATATTAAATATATAGTTAAAAAGAAAATATATTATTAAAAAGTTAATAGTTATAATTAAAGAAGCTTATTACTTAAAAAATTATTTAAAAAAAAATCTTTTATTTATATAAAGACTAATCTAATTAAATTAAATAAGAATTTAAAAAAAATAGATATCTTTAATATATTAAAAGAAATAAACTCTAAATTAAATCTTTTTTATACTCTTATTAATTTAATATTAGCTATAAATCTCTTAATTTTAAATTTAGATAATATATAAAGTTAAATTATTATAGATAAGTTATAAATATATTATTATTTAAAAGAACTTAAGAACTTTAATAAAAAGATCTTAAATATTATTATATTATTTATACGATATAAAAGAAAATATTCTATCTTTAAAAGATATACTATCGAATTTAATTTAGATTATATCGAAGTATAATTTATAAATATTATCGAAAAAGAGTTTATTATAATCTTTATATTTATTATTAATTTATAGAATTTTATAAAAAACGCTATTAATACTTCTAATACTTAATATAATAAATTAAAAATTTTAATAAAGAGCTTTTAAACTATTAGTCGTAATATTAAAATACTTTAATAATAAAATAAATAATTTAATTAGAATATTATTTATATTAAGATAAAGATATTAATAATTATTATTTAGCTAAGTAATAATAAT